TTAACATACGTCTTTTACTATTAATTAAATGATTGCTTTGCTTGCAAAAAGCAGTCTGTAATATTTACTTCTGAGCACAATTAATGCATTAGTTACTGATTTTCTGCATGGGGAAATCAACAAACTAATGGCACGCGTGTGTGTTTTTTGCTCACTGTGTGTTTACAGTCTCCAGTTTAACAGCCTGGATCCCGAGTCCTGCATTCTGCTCCGAGATCTGCTACTCGAACCCAACTGTACCATTAAGTCATTACAGTAAGCCTGCTTTCAGTAGCACATTATTACAGTGATCTTTATCAGGGTAGGTGATGTTATAACTGACAAAATATGTTCTATTTTATGTTAGGCATATTGAACATCCAGACAGTTGTTCTTGCAGAATAGCAAAGCAACTTGTATAAGAGTGAAGGGCTTTATTTTGTAAAAAAAAAACAGATGTATATTATCCTGCTTATTACGTGGCTACGTGCCACATATATGAACAATTGCATGCTATTGGTTGAATTTAGTGAATGGCATGACTTGGAATGTTGTGAATGATCAATTAAAATCAAGTATTCCACGTAGCCATGCAATAATATCCAATAAAACATGCTGAAAAAATTATCATCTACAGTATGTAATGTGCTGCTGTGCGTACAAAAATTCTGAATCACGTCCCAAGTTCTGAAATCAACTGTGACACTGCTTATCAGACGAATCAAGAAAAATTAAATGATACATGAGTTAACATCCTAGTGTTCAAAAATCAGTGTATTTATACTATGAAAAGACTTTCCTGTGTATTTTATGTGACCTTTATGCCCCTCTGATCACAGGTTATGTGATAACTACTTGTCGGACAGCGGCATTAGTCATTTGCTGGAAGCTCTGTCTGGAAATCACTCTCTACAGCGGCTGAATCTGATGCACACAGGACTTAGTGACAAATCTGCACTACTACTGGCTGAGAAACTGGGCCAACATGATCAGTTAAAGGAACTGAACGTGGCTTACAACAACATCGGAGACAGTGCAGCTCTCACGCTGGTCGATGCTTGTCGCGAACACCCCAGCATCCACACAGTGCAGTGAGTACAGTGTGTTATAATACACCTTTTAGATGTATCTTCCTTTAAATCTGATTTCAGAGTGCTGTTTTAAATGTATTTGAAGAGTTCAGATGCAAAAAAAATCTCTAAATGCCATCTGAAATTTTCTTCTAAGCATTTTTCTCAGGCTCCTTTGTCTTGATTCAGTGTGTTAAGTAGCAATATTAGAAGTTAAGAAATGCAATCCAAAATCTTTTTAATAAATCTCTTTACGTTATCTTCCATTCATACAAAAACTATTTACAGAAGAAAGGGGGAATAGATGTAATATTTGTAAAAGGCATGGAACAGAAGCACATTAGGTTGAATCTAAGTTATACTTCATCAATTTGGACCAGAAGCCAACAAATTTATATATTTAATTATTTATGTAATTTCTCCTCAATAAATATAATTTTAACATTTAAACTTGTCATTTTTTTAAAGAAATATTATGCTATGAAGTGTATACAACTACAGTTTTCCTGTTTTGACACATTAAAGTACATCACTAAGAAATTATTAAATTTTTTGTGGCAAGCAAAAAAATAAATAAATTCCATCGGCCAAACCAGGCCATTAGAAATAGTCGTTAGTGTTTAGCCCCATATAAGTCTAAAATTTCATCCATAATGGTCTTAAACGGGTCTTAAGAAGTTAATGAAACCTGCAGAAACCCTGTTGTAGGTGTTCTGTAACAAAAATAATAATCACTATATAAATCAAATACATATTAATCCATGATCATGCTAGGGGTGGTTTTAGGATTTTCATTTCAGGGGGCTTAGCCTGAACAAATTGATACTGTTTGTGGATCTCTGTTTAGATACAGACTACTTTCTAACCTCAAGTAATTTTTGTTCCCATTTTCTAATGCAAAAAGGCATAGCATAAATATAATTTTTTTTTTTTAAATCTGGCACATTATTAAATAGCAAACCATTTTTTCAAGAAAACACATCATGTTTTTATCTGTCAGTCACTCTGATATGCAGTTAAAAAGCAGTTAAAATGAGTACATTGACTGGGAGGTTCTGTGTTTAGTCACTCCTGTGCATAACTGTATGGTATAGTTGATGCCACATGTACTGCAATGTGTTTTATGTTCATAGTTCATTTTGAAATTAAAATAGCCCCCCTAAAATTGGCCTATCGATACCCATGGTTCAAGTTACAAAAGGTATTCATTCATTTTCCCTTGGCTTAGTCCCTTATTTATCAGAACTATTCCAGCATATGTGTTATGCAACGGATGCCCTTCCAGCTGCAACCCAGTACTGGAAAACGCCCATACACTCTCACATTCACACATGCACTATGGCCAATTAGCACATTTTTGAACTGTGGGGAAAACTAGAGCACCAGGAGGAAACCCATGCAAACATGGGGAGAACATGCAAACTTAGAAATGCCAACTGGCCCAGCCGGGACTCGAACCAGTGAACTTCTTGCTGTAAGGCGACAAGGACCTGAGCCACCGTGCCGCCAAAAGTAATTAATTAATTTATTTACTTTTTTGCTTAGTCCCTTTATTAATCCAGGGTCGCCACAGCGGAATGAACCACCAACATTTCCAGCACATGTTTTACGCAGCTGATGCTCTTCCAGCCGCAACCCATCTCTGGAAAACATTTATACACACTCACTCACACTCATACACTACGGACAATTTAGCCTACCCAATTCACCTGTATACCGCATGTCTTTGCTCTGTGGGGCAAACTGGAGCACCTGGAGGAAACCCACGTGAACGCAGGGAGAACATGCAAACTCCACACATAAACGCCAACTGACCCAGCCGAGGCTTGAACCAGTGACCCTCTTGCTGTGAGGTGACGGCACTACCTACTGCGCCACTGCGTCCCCCAATAGTAATTCAGTCAAGGTCATTTATGTAGCTTTCATTCATTCATTCATTGATTTTCTTTTCGGTTTAGACCCTTTAATAATCTGGGGTCGCCACAGTGGAATGATCCACCAACTTATCCAGCATATGTTTTACACAGTGGATGCCCTTTCAGCTTCAACCCATCACTGGGAAACACCCATACACACTCAATCACACACATACACTATGGCCAATTTAGCTTACCCAATTCACCTACAGCACGTCTTTGGACTCGTGGGGGAAACCAGAGGGAACCCACGTAAACATGGGCGCGAAGAACATGCAAACTCCAAACAGCAACTGACACAGCCAAGGCTCGAACCAGCGACCTTCTTGCTGTGAGGCAATCATGCTATCCACTGCGCCACCGTGTTGCCCCTGTAGCTGTCATTTGTAGACTTAATGCATGGATCCAATACAATGATACACATTTGATTTTTTTCTCAGCTGTTTGTTCTCTTGAGACAAAAACTATGCTGATTGCCAAGATGCTACACATATTTATTTGTGTTTGTCCATTCAAGAGAATGAGATGTGAAAGAGAGGGCAGGGGGTTTGGTGGTTCACCTACTGTATGAGTTACATTGAGTCCTCATCCTATGGAAATGCAAACAAACAATTTGCTTTAAATGTCAACAACAAAAGGCAAACTCTTCCAGGCATCAGATAGTGTTTGAGGTGTCTTGTTTGTAGGCAGCCACTAAAGACTATTGGTTGGCGTTGAGCAAATTAAATATGTCTACAATTACTGACAATGTACTGTAAATATATAGAAATATAGATGTTTTTATTTGTTATACTGTATGCCTTGTGCTTTTTTTCATTTAGTCTGTACCTGAATCAGCTTACCGACGTGGCCAAGCAGTCTTTATATGTGCGTGGAGGTCCTCGGGTGAAGGAGGGCCGGCGGGTGAAAGTCCTGGCTTCTGTGACCGAGGGTTCGGACATCTCTGAGGATTGGCATCCCATTTTGAGTGTCATTGGGAAAAATTCCCTTTCCTGGGAAAGAGACCGTGTACGTGAGCAACTGCTGGTTTTTCTGAAAGACCTCGAATGGGGGAGGAAACAGCACCTGAGTTTTTGGAAAAAGATGCACTTTCGAAGAGTAGAGAGTGTTGTGAGGCAAATGCTGCGCTTTATAGAGAAAAGCAGCGATACAGGAACTGGTACTAAATGAATTATCTTTAGCTCTAAAGGAATGGGGGTTTAGTTTCTCAATTGGATTTTTGTTGTTAATGTTATAATTAGCCTTAACATTTCCTAGGTGTTTTGCAAAGTGTTGATTTATGTGCATGTTATGCTATCTATTTTAGCATTAGGTCAATTTCAGAAAACACTGTGACAAAATGAGTATATTTGATTATTTTAGGGAAAGACTGATATTTGCTGCACCAGACTATTTTGGATTACTACTTGAAAATTGCTCATTATTGCACGATAACAAATGATGCCATTTGAAGCCATTTCCTATGCATATGTGTTCAGGGAGAACGTACAGTTCATATAAACTCTTATGTGTTTAAAGGAATAGTTCACCCAAAAATAAATAAATAAATAAAATTCTGTCATTTACTCATCACTTTGTTTAAAACCTGGTTGATCATTTTTTCTGACCACAAAGAAAGATATACAGAAGAATGTTGGGGCAAAAACAGCGATTAGGTTTTTGGTCCTACAGTGGATGACAATGACTGCTTTTTTCCAGCATTATTCATAATATTTTGTTTTGTTTTCAAAAAAAGAAATAAATTCTTACCAATTTAGAACCACATGAGGGAGAGTAAATGATGTGGAAGTTTTCTTTTTTTGAGGTGAACTATCCCTTTAAGTGTCAAATGGTGCAATCTTAACCAAGGCAAGGATTTAGAATGCTTCTACAATGTTCACATATCTTATGCCTTGATTAAAAAAAAAACACATTTGAACTAACAAATTGTGACTGAGATCAGCAAAATAAAAAGTGCTGATTAAAGACTTTTGTCATTATTTTAAATTAAAATTAAATTAAAAAACAATTGTTGGGGTTTGGGCTGGGAGTTTGTTGTCTGTCAGTTATCTTGAATACAGTTAGTTATGTCATACCTAGTTATTTAGTTATGTCAACACTGATGGTGGCAGAGGTGTTTTCTCATAAACCTGGGATTAAATATTAATCTCCTGGTGGAACAAGGAGGAGCCATACTGACAAAAGCGTTTTTATGCTTCATTTAAATGTGTACCTTGCACCCTCACAACATCCAGGCCTCAGAAGGATCATGAGATTCACCGCAGGTAATGTACACTGCATACTGTATAAATATGCTCTGTTTTTATTGAGATGAGTGAACAGCATGTAATGTGGAGGTCAGGTAAGATATTTCAAGGGTTTGTCATGGTTTAATTTTCAAAAAACTGTGAAGATAAAGAACCCTTATAAGCAATATGTTTAGGAGGGAAAGCAAATGCTGAATTATTGAATTATGTCTCTGTGTGTTTTAATTTAGCAGTGTCATATTTTATTTGCATTTCTGACACGATTTCTGTTGATGCACTCTACTAAAATTTCATTCAACTTCTAATTGGAGCATTGCTTTGAAAGGATTTTGTTATAATTTTAAGTATTTACAGCACTCATTTTTATTTAAATAAAATTGTATTCATGGCCTTTAAGACAAACGTAACATTTATTTATGTTTTCTTCCTGAGGTCTTAGCTAAAGAAACAAATATATGTACAGAATCTAATCAACTGAAGAGTTTCCTCCTGAACTCTGATCTTAAGTCTTGTCAGCGTTTTGTTTAGGCTGAGTATGTGATTTCAAATCATGTTCTTGACAAGCACTCTGGGTACTTTTTCTATATCTAAAATATTGGCAACAAAAACCTGCCAAACAACTGTATGTTTTGTGGATTTGAATCCATAGAAATGAGCAAATGTGGCACGCTTGTATACGTTCAACCATTACTTTTCAGAAAAGTCTTGATATCTGCCATGTAACAATGTCATAAAACAGTTTGGCCTCTTCAATTTGTTAAAGAAGCCTTATATAAACAGGATAAGACACTTTCAAATTGTACATTTTTGTATCTTATATACCAAGAAGAATATTTTATTTGTACAAACTGTTACCTAATTAAATATCTATTTGCTTTTTAATGTTTATATATTTTTTTACTTTTACAGAAACCGTGGAGGCACCAGATTTACCGAAGTAAGACATCAGAAAGTTCTTTAAATGACATTTTAATCTCTGGTGATCCTACACATGGTAATGATAATCCTAGACATGATAATGTTTCATTATTATTTTTATAGCAAACGGCTTTCCCAAAAATGCACGCTACGCTCAGCAATTAAGTATGCCATTCCTGGGTTTCAGTGCCTTTTGTTACCCAAATATATATTCACACTTGAATTTAGTTACATTGCATCTACATGCCAACTAACTCTTATTAGATTATAGGTAGACTGTTAAGGTTAGTGTAAGTTGAAATTTCTTATAGTTAAATGTTTGTTGAAGAAGTAGTATCAACAGAATTTAAGCAGTTTACTAATACTCAAATGAACTATCAAAATAAAGTGTTACCAAATATGTTATTAAAAGATTAATATATATTTAATTAAACTTAATTAAAATAGTATTTTTAACCACTTTAAACCACCTATATCACAAATTTGTTCCTAGTTCTCCAGCCTGTCTACACTGCAGGACTTTTTGTTTGTGATTTTAATTAATTTAATAATTCTCACAATATATAAAATGAATAAGTTGGGAACTTTTTTGTAAAATCTTAAGTTTATAAACGATTTGAATCCCCAGATATTATTACTGTAAAAGTCTAGGCTAATGTTTTGAATAAACTATTAGTGTAGCAAACAACCCAGTTAAAATATAGCCTTTATATGCTCCATGATTTATTGTCATGGTTTAGGATATTGTGCTAAAGTTTGTAATGTTAAATGATATCCACGTATTAAAAAGTGTCGCAAGATAGCTCGAGATTCTATTAAGTTATTTACTCATTCACGAGAGTTATTAACGTTGTCAAGTGTAAAGAACCATATTATTAATATATCCTTATCTTTTTGGTCTGTTTACATAAAACATATGTACAGCACAGTGCAAATGTTTTCCACAGAAAGTTCACCTTCAACCCGAAAGAAGGCATTGACAATCCTGCTTTGGTGATCTCCGATGACAAAGGTTACTTCCTCAATCACTTTCATCCATTTACAGGCAGTATATCGTAAACGACTAAAAGCGAAAGATATGTCAAAACTCTTATTGCTGACTATTGTTTCCAGAGCCAGATGTGCACCCGCGGTTGTGTGTCCTGAGGCGGGAGGAGGGCCAGGGCTTCGGCTTCTACCTGAGCCGGGACGCGGGTCGCTGCAGAGGGCATGTGGTGCGGCAGGTGGAGCCTTGGAGCAGCGCCGAACGGGCTGGACTGAGGATCGGGGACCATGTTTTGGAGGTCAATGAGGACTTTGTGGATGACAAGGAGCACTCGACTGTAAGAGCTCTTCCTTATGCAAACACGAGACCGTTGTGTCGTGTGAATTAATCACACAAACAATGGAATACAATAATGTTGGCAAGTGAATGCAAAGCATTAAGGGGGGCATTTCTCCAGTTCACTATAAAATTTTGTTTCCTCAGGGTGCTCCGGTTTCCTCCACAGTCCAAATACATACGCTATAGAATTGGATAAACTAAACTGGCAGTAGTGTTTGATTGTGTATGTAAGAGTATATGGGTGTTTCCCAGTGCTGGGTTGGCTAGAAGAGCATCCACTGCATAAAACATATGCTGGAATAGTTGGCGGTTCATTCTGCTGTGGCGACCCCTGATAAATAAGGGACTAAGCCGAAGGAAAACAAATGAATGAATGAGTACACTATTTAAACAAAAGTTTAACCTCTTAGTAGCTAACAATTAATAGCCAATATCAGGGATGTCAAACTCAATTCCTGGAGGGCCGCAGCCCAGCACAGTTTAGTTCCAACCCTGCTCCAACACGTTTACCTGTAGGTTTCAAACAAGCCTAAAGGACTCAATTAGTTTGAGCAGGTGTGTTTAATTAGGGTTGGAACTAAACTGCAGGGCTGCGGCCCTTCAGGAATTGAGTTTGACATTCCTGGCCTATATGCTATAGCCGTATTTACCTAATGTTAACATAGATTAGTAAACGCTGTAATTGTTACTGAAATATAATTGTAATCACATTTTTACAATACACTCAGAAGTTCACATTTTATATAGAGTGTCATAATGTTTGACTTTATAGCCAATCATAAGTCGGCCTGGAGGTCCCCAGTACTGGGTCGCAGCTGGATGGGTAAGGTACACATTTGTACTTGAAGGGTCCATATTGGTCCCTCAAAAGTATATATTATAGGTACTAATATGTACCCTTGAGGTATTAATATGGATCTTTCAAAAAAGGTACCACCCCAGGGACAGCTCACGTATCTTTACTTCTGAGTGTATAAACTGCCAAAAGGTATAAAAAAAAAATAAATTAATAAAAATCTGAGGAACAAAAGATGTTTGTGTTGGACCATACTGATTCAGGATTCAGGATTTCCAAGGCATTAATATCTTAATTAATACCTGTCATACATAATTCTTACCACTAATTCAATTCAGTTTCCTGCTTGGTAAGTCTTTAATCTCTATATGGTTTAGACAGCATAAATGGGCAGAATGATGTGTAGTACAATAACCGTGCAATGATAATGTTTACATTCGAGTATCGCCACCATGGCTGCAGGTACGATTAAATCACCAAATCTTGACATAAGTGTAAGTGACAAAAATGTTAATTCACAGTGTCCTTATTACTGTGTACCTGTTATACCATTACAAATATACATTCAGTCATTTTCTTTTCAGCTTAGTCCCTTTATTAATCTGGGGTCGCCACAACATAATGAACCACTAACTTTTCCAGCATATGATATTACGCAGCGGATGCTCTTCCAGCCGCAACTCAGCACTGGGAAATACCAATACATTTTTGCATTCACTCATTTGCTCCACAGCCAAGCTTATTCAATTCACCTACCACTTGTCTTTGGACTGTGGGGGGAAACCGGAGCACCCGGAGGACACCTACACAGGCACGGGGAGAACATGAAAACTCCACAGAACTGACTTTTTTTTTTTTTTTTTTTTAAATAGAGGAGTTCTGCTATTAACAACGCACTGTATAACCTACACCTTCATTTACCTTTAAAAAACACCTAAAAAAATGATATATATATTTTAGGATAATGTTATCTGAGAACCTCATGACCCCAGAGCTATACATGCCATATATACAGATTATTAAACATTTAAAGCAATGTATTTGCTACTTTTGTACCAGTTGAGTGAAAGCCTTGGGTAAAATCCCCCTTTTTTTCAGATGCACTCAAAATAATGAACACATGCTCTCATTGACTGCTTGATTCATCGTGACTACTTTCATTTCAATTCAGCAACTTATTTTTTAAAAGCTAATTAATAAAAAAAATAACTTAAATATTTCTACTTATTTTTTGAAAGTAATGCATTGATTTACTTGTTAACTCGCGCTACTTGTAATTCATTACCCCCAACACTCTTTACTAGTGTGTGTATATTGAGCTGTGTGTTGTTTTCAGGTGGTGCTGAAGGTGCAGGCGTCTGGATTAAAGCTCTATCTGTTAGTTCTGAGTGCTCAAGATTATGAGTTTGCAGTTTCAGAGGGAAGAGACCTTTTGTCCGTTGCCAGATCTTATCGTCCTGAGGGCTGCTCTCGCCCGCGGTTATGCCACATCACTAAAGAGCCTGGCTGTGGTTTGGGCCTCAGCATCATTCCCATTGAAGGTACTGCTTCTGTCGCTCACTTTTTTGACTTGCTAATATTTTTAAGCAATTGTGAAATAAGTTAAAGCACTGGAATAAGGGACTAAGCCAAAGAAAAATCAATAAATGAATGAATAATTCATATATATATATATATATATATATATACAGTTGAAGTCAGAATTATTAGCCCCCTTTTAATTTTTTTTTTCTTTTTTAAATACTTCCCAAATGATGTTTAAAAGAGCAGAGAAATTTTCACAGTATGTCTGATAATATTTTTTCTTCTGGAGAAAGTCTTATTTGTTTTGTTTCGACTGGAAAAGAAGCAGTTATATATTTTTTTAAAAACCATTTTTGTGACAAAATTATTAGCCCCTTTAAGCAAATTTTTTCCAATAATCTACAGAACAAACCATCATCATACAACAACTTGCCTAATTACCCTAACCTGCCTAGTTAACCTAATTAACCTAGTTAAGCCTTTAAATGTCACTTTTGTCACTAAAATATTATTTACTGACATCATGACAAAGAGAAAATAAATCAGTTTTTAGAAATAAGTTTTTAAAACTATTATGCTTAGAAATGTGCTGAAACAATCTTCCCTCCATTAAACAGTAATTGGGAAAAAAAACAAAAAAACGGGCGTTAATAATTCAGGGCGGCTAATAATTCTGACTTCAACAGTATATATATATATATATATATATATATATATATATATATATATATATATATATATATATATATATATATACAGTTGAAGTCAGAATTATTGAAATTGGGGGGAAAAAATAAACAGGGGTGCTAATAATTCAGGGGGGCTAATAATTCTGACTTCAACTCTATATGAATGATTTTGGTGAGCTCTTGTTTATTTAATGGAATATGTGTGATCAGGAGCGCGAGGCCGATATCGCCTGAACCCAGTGACTGATGGTCCAGCGGAAAGAGCAGGCATCCAGAATGGAGACAGGCTCATCTGGATCAATGGAGTCTCGATTTCTGTCATCTCATATGCAGCACTGGCCAAAATGGTAAGCGTGCTCCTAATAAATATCTTTTATGGTATTTTATCGGCACATTTGTATTGCCACAAGCATATCAAAACTGTTTTGAGTTCATTGTGTTTAGTTTTTGATTATTTTCTCTTTGCATTCCCAATAGTACAGTAATTTACATCTGTGTTCATTGGTTTGAAAAGACTATTGTTTAGAGTTTTTGGAGGTTACTCATGATGTGTTGATAGTTAGTTGTATATTCTAATAAGCTGTTATTATAATAAGTCTTACAATAATTGGTGTAACAATTCAGTTTTACAGTTCATTACAAACAGTTTAACGGAAGTTACTATTAAAATTCACACTAAGCATTATGGGGTGTAGGAAAAAGGGGTCTGTTATCTACCAGAATTGCTAGAGTTTTCCTTTTTTTTCTCACTAGGTGAAGAAATGTGAAAAGCATCTGACCGTCTTGGTAATTGACAGCAGGAGTGAAGAGATTTATAATCGCATGGGATTACCCATAATTCCTGCTTTTGCCGAAACCCATAATCTGCCCTACAGACCAAAAACACTCCACCTGACTCAAGGACCACAGGGATACGGCTTCCTCTTAAGGCAAGAGAAGTTACGATCAGGACGCATTGGTGAGAGGTTTACTAAAACTTTGGTTATAACTAAAATACAATTTAGTATTTTTATAACGTCATCATTTTAAAAATGTTTACAAAAAATTAGAAAAAAACAATTTATTTAGTATTTATATGTTTACTATCTGTGATATATTCATATATTTAATGTGCATTTTTTATGTGTATTTCTAAATACACTCATCGGCCACTTTATTAGGTACACCTGTCCAACTGCTTGTTAACGCAAATTTTTAATGAGCTAATCATGGCAGCAACTCAATGAATTTAGGCATGTAGACATGGTCAAGGCGATCTGCTGCAGTGCAAACCGAGCATCAGAATGGGGAAGAAAAGTGTTTTAAGTGATTTTAACCGTGGCATGGTTATTGGTTTCTGGATTTTAATGTACAACCATGTCTAGGGTTTACCGAGAATGGTCTGAGAAAGAGAAAATATCCGGTGAGTGGCAGTTCTATGGACACAAATTCCTTGTTGATGCCAGAGGTCAGAGGAGAATGACCAGACTGGTTGAAGCTTATAGAAAGGCAACAGTAGCTCAAATAACCACTCATTACAACCAAGGTATGCAGAAGAGCATCTCTAAACACACAACACGTTGAACCTTGAGGTGGATGGGCTACAGCAGAAGAAGACCACACCGGGTGCCACTCCTGTCAGCTAAGAACAGGATACTGAGGCTACAATTCGCAAGGGCTAACCAAAATTGAACAATAGAAGATTGGAAAAATGTTACCAGGTCTGATGAGTCTCGATGCAGTGACATTTGGATGGTAGTGTCAGATTTTGGCATCAACAACATGAAAGCATGGATCCATCCTGCCTTGTACCAATGGTTCAGGCTGGTGGTGGCAGTGTAATGGTGAGGGGGATATTTTCTTGGCACCAATAGATTAATCCAATAGAGTACTTTTGGGATGTGGTGTGATGCTATCATATCAATATGGACCAAGGAATATAAGGAATATTTCCAGTACCTTGTTGAATCTATGCCACAAAGGATTAAGGCATTTCTGAAGCCGAAAGGGGGTCCAACCCGTTACTAGTAAGGTGTACTTAATAAAGTGGCCTGTCAGTGTATTTATTTATTGATGAAAAGTTGTGAATGAAATAAAATATTTTTATGGTTTTGGAAAGTAACCTCATTTAATTAGTTTTTTAAGTAATGTTTCTTTTTGAAACATGGTATAAAATACCATATAAGTGATTTTTTTATTCAAAATTAAATATCAACATATTAATCACAAAATATCATGGAACTAAGTGAATAACATTAACATTATATAACTAAACCACTTGTTTAAAATCACATTTAATTATTAGATAAATAAATAATAATAAAATACAAAAAATCTGCTTTCATTTCTATCCAATGTTTAATGTTTCTTTTCATATTCTAATGTTTTTTAGGAAAAAGATCACATTTTTTACAATTATTATTTTTGTATGTTTATCATAGTATAATTGTGTCTTTATTTGAAATGCAAATCACAAACTATATAAAATAGTTGTCTGACAAAGGGATCGCAATATTTAGGAGCACTGTCAATGGCATTGAAAACAAAATTCTTTGTTCTCTATTAACACTAAGCATTATTTTCAGCATGCGGTATAGTATTTCAATCAGCACTGTACTAATATGTTTGCTCTGCTCTGTAGCTCATATATTGCGAGAGATCGACCCCTGCAGCCCAGCTGAGACTGCAGGAATGGAGGATGGAGAAATTGTGCTCGCTGTGAACGGAGAGCAGGTGGAGGATGCAGAGCATGAGGGCATCGTCAGCAAAATACGACAAAGCGGCCAGCAGGTCACCCTCACCACCATCTCCATCGCTGGCAGAGACTTTTACACACAGGTGCTTACACAAACAAGCTTTCACATACAGTACTCCTAAAAAAAAAAGTAGAGGAGCGGCAACATTCAGCTGCTAAATCAACATATTTTTCATCCGACTAAAGACATTTGACCCCAAGGCCCAACCAAGAAGCTTCTAGTACACCGAAACAGGTGTTTTTAAAATGAAATGAATCAACCGTGGGGAAGATAATTGGACCCTGGGGATTGGGTGAGGTCACTGTGACCTAGATAATGTTGGGAAGCGTTATTTTTGTAGGATGTGCTTGGATTTATCACTGAAAAGGTGTTTGTTTTTTCATTCACTTCACTTCAGCTGGCAATGTCTCCATTGCTGTTCTATGACGAGCACATACCAAAATGTGAACCGTTCGCTACACCGGCCCTAGAACATCCTGAGGGACACCAAAATCCACCGCAACCTCGACTTTGTGAGCTTCATAAGGAGGGTACAGGATTCGGCTTCAACCTGGGCTGTGTTGAGAATAAGCCTGGGACTTATATCGGCCAGGTATTGTTATTCAGTTCTGATTTATTATTTATTTTGTTGGTAGAACTATAGTGTGTACAATAATAATAATAATTATTATTATTATTGTTGTTGTTATTAATAAGTATTAGTATTATTGGTGTGTACACTTTTTTGTTAGAAACAATAGAGTTTTACAGTGAATCACATACAGTAGCTGGACTGTCAGACTGATGACATGCAGAAAAATCTGGACGTCTTTGAAAGTTTTATTAGGAAAGGATCCTCCAATAGACTGTGTGATTGACATGTCAATCACTGTTAGCTTTGCTCAGCTTCGTGTTTAGGGGCATAAAAATGTAAATGATAAACTGTCAAGAACACGATGTTCATGGCATCAAGTTCACATCTCTAAAGAGAATCTATTGTTTAGTTAATCTCAATAAGCACTCACTGTTGCAATAGTAAACACCCCAGCTTTCTTCCATAATAGTGTTTAGTGTCACAATATCAGTTTGCAATTACATTAAAAACACAACATCTTTTGCTGTGATGGACGTTTATTATCCCTCACAACATTTGTGGTCCCTTTTAGCCTTTTGTTACCCACCATGTCTTTCTAAAAAGCATTCAGCATGGTAAAACTGAGCTTCTTCTTCACCACATTATCTACAAGCAGTGAAGAAGGTAAGGAAGCAGTGGTTTTATCGTGCTAAAATCATTTTAGTTTTTTTTTCGACCCTCGCATTTTGGGACAGAGTGGCCCACTACATACAATCAAAATGCTACCCATCTGTGCACGGCCTTGATTATGTTTACCAACTCCCATTCTATAAAAGCACAAAAGCCATTTATAGGAAATAATGAGGGTTGACAAATTAAAAACATACAAATTTTAATTTATTATTAGAATAAAATTATAATCCGCACTGGAAGTCCATCTTGTGTGTGCCTGTGTGTTTTGAGGGAGCCTATATTAAATAATGAACATAACAAAAACCGCCTGCTGACGCACACAGTTAATATTGATTAACAAAATAAAGATAAATAATAAAAGCAATGTGTCACAGAGCCTTAAAAGTGTTTAACTCAACAATGAAACATCGAACATAGATTAAAGATTGTATATAGTCAATCAAATGAACTTAAACGATTAAAAAATACAACAAATATTTATTTGGGCTTGAACTACAAAACTAAATGTAAAAAAAAATGTAATAGTTTTGCTTAAGTTGCACATCAACTTTGTCATGTATAAATATCATTATAACCATATTTTATAAATATTATTGTAACTATATAGGCCTTCATCATGCTGACAATCAAAAACAAAATGTCATGATACCACTGGCAATTGTCTTCTGACCGAGTGCACCTTAAAAGACATGAATGACGCTCCTCATATAGCTAGAGAAGCATACAGTTCTTTAGGATCTATATAATTTGTAAAATAAAGAGTTACAGGTAAAGGAAAACAGCAAGGGAGGAAGTTGCCGTGGGTGCAAATGCAAAGTAAAAATAAAAAGTGTATTTATATAAACTGATAGGTAACTAGATAGAATAGACAGAGATAGATTGATCTGTGCAACAGCTGCCGATACGCTGCGCGCTGCAGACGCAAAGGCAAACGCCTGATCCTGCTCTCCAGACTAGAGCTTGCGGAGTGAAACAGGCGTGACTCTCGACTACTTTGACAAATAAACAGCAACATTGCACGCTGACACAAGGCCCAAAATGGGAGTTTGTGATTGGGTCAGCCCAATGTCAATAAAGAAAAGAACCAATCGGCTGCAGATTATGTCACATGGGCCGGTCTGTCCGAAATAAAAAAACTTTCAGAGTGTTAAAGAGCCCAAATTATGGGTTTTTGAAAATTCCCCTCCATGTAGTGTGTAACACAGCTCTAAGTGAAGTGAAGTATCCAGCTAAGGCTTAAATCTGTAAGAATACAGTGTTTAAAATGGTTGATTCATCTATAAAAGAGTCGACTCATAGTGCTTCAAACGAGTCGCCTTGATACCGATTCATTAGGTGTTTCGCCATGACGTACGAACGAAACCAAGTTATTCACGTGCACGCGCAAACCCGGGAGATTTCAAACCCGAGGCCCCGCCCTCTGACGCAGAAACCCAGACACACACACACCCACAAACACACGCACACCCACAACAACATGCACACAAACATGCCGGTCGATTGAAGTCACACTGCAGATGGATATATTGAGTCTCTACCCAAAGATGAAACATCAGTATTATAACCAAGCAGTTGGAAACTTCTGGAAGCTACATGCTACAAAGAATACTTCATCTGAGTTTGTTAAAGGAAGGATCAGTAAAGAGTAACTTACTGATGGACGTCAGGATGGGTTTCTTCCTCCATTTCTCAAGTGTAAGTACGTGCGGTTAAAGTTGTTGCCTCGTTTACTCTAGCTTGCAAATGTATTTAGTTGTGATTTGTTACTTGTAACCGAGTGTACTGTATCAGGTTAACTGGCTATATTCTCTTATCGCGTGCAAAGTCACGTTAAAAACGCGACGCGTGCTGCTTTGTTTATGGAGCTCCGTGCTAGAGTTCTGCTCCCGTGATTTATTCGCAAATTTATTCCCGCGCCGCAGAAATCTGGCGCGGGGACAGCCGCGGGAATAAATTTCCGAATAAATCGCGGGGAGCGGTCGGTAACGGGTTTAATTTGGAATGGGAGCGGGCTGTCTAGCAATATCACGGATATTGCTATGCGAATGAGAAAGATGTGTCTGCTTGGTGCTTGTGTGTGTGTTAGTGCGCACGCGCGCGTATGAGAGAGAGAGAAAGAGCACGAGAGAGCGAGCAAACGAGCTTTTTGTGCTTGGTGCTGTGTTTATACAGACAGCTTGGCTGTCTGGACTGTGTAGCTGGGTGATTTTTGGTCCCCCGCTCTAGCGGGATCGGGCGCGGCGGGCAGAAAACGGAGCGGGTTCTTAGGCTAAAACCTGGCGGGTGTGGGCGGAAGCGGGAGCGTTGTCGTCCCGTGTGTTTTTGTGTGTGTGTGGCAGCTAAAATCCACGCCTACACTATCGAGCGTGTATGAACTGTGATTACTTTTATATTGCTGATTGGCTATTGGCCATTTCGCTCTCTGACTGAAGGCAGTCGACCAATCGCGACAGACTGTCATCGGTCCAATCAGCGCAGATTAGCTTCGCGCTAAGGAGGGGTTTGGGAACAAATGAATCACTGGACGATTCATACAGGAGTCGCTGTGATAATTAGATAAAAATAAATGCATATTATAAGACCATGAAAGTGTTTTTTGACCTTGCATGCATATTAGACTGTTGTTGGAGACCCTTACAACCAAGATATGACCCTATTTCATGTATAATATGGGCTCTTTAAGGGCGTCACACACCAGATGCGCCGCTTAGAGCCATGGCACGGCACGCACAGAACAGTTGAAAGTATTGTACATCAGATGTGCATATTCGCATTTATTTAAAATGCAGCTAATCAGATGGCGGTCTGTGGAACTTGGACTTGCGGAACCGGTGTGTGTACCCTGATAGAAAATTATGTTTAGAACTCTAAAATGCATGGTGCTGCATGGCGCTGCATGTGGCTACAAAGCACATAGCTGAGCGGCACTTCTAGTGTGTGACCCCTTTTAAGCCTCCTTTCCACTGCACACGACAGACCAGAGGTCATTCATTTCCAATGGAGAGTAGTCTGAGCGTTCCGATCATCTCCATATGCGAAAAATTCGGATGCGAATTGAGCTGCGGATCTGTTACAATATTTGAACTCCTGTGACTAGACTGTATGCGCCAGTCCGACCGGATGTGATGCATTCCAAGCATGTTGTCCAAGTAGGTCTGTGTGTGTGAGATAAGAATTAGTAGTTTTTTTTTCTGTTATTTTGTGAAACAGAAAAAGTCTATATTAAAAAACAAAACAAAAAAACATTTCTATTGATAAATGTAAGTAATAAAAACATAAAATATTAAACTTTTTATGTTGCCTCCACTTGCGCACAACGCACAAAGAATAATGGCTCTAGTTTTTGCATTCCTTTATTTCGGACACTATGAGAACAGCTTCTCCCCCATGGTACACATCAGAACTGAAAATTCTGTGCGACTGCCACAAGGGGCGTATTCGGACAGTGATGTCCAAATGTTGTGTGCAGTGGAAAGGTGGCTTTACAGATCACAGCATGATCAGTTAATTAGGCAGAAAAAAACAACAGTCTGCTAAGTGTTTTATGGGCCGATCAAATCATAAGAAAATGATCAGCCCGGCCCGAAAAGTATGTCGGGCTATCGGGAAACTGCCCGGTCTGCCAGATGGCCAGTCCACCCCTGGTAACGAGTGGCTAAAAGGGAGCACAAATGTTGTGAGGGACTATAAAAAAGTGGTCAATTGTTGTATAATAAAAGCTCCGCTGCTTTCATGCCTTTTTTCTTTTAGTTCAATGGCTTTCAGTTTTACTCTGCTTCATACTATGAGAATACATTTTGAATACAATTAGCCATGAACTAGTTTCTGCATAGTTCCATAGGATACAATAAAGATGACAAGTCCCATGATTCCACACTCAGCGGCATCAGATTATAGCTGTTTCTCAATTCCAATAACGCAGAAAACAGTCTTGCCAGGTCACGTCAGAGGAACGAACTTGGGATACCGCAAGAATAGAGAACGCGTTCTGTGAGAAATGAGATGCTGGGTTCTTCCTAATGGTCACATGATCTTCACACATTTTTTTTAACAGACAATTATTTAAACATTACAGCATTCATACAACAATTTATTTTTAGAACTGAACTTTGGTGGTTGATGATGACGTTACACAAGGACACCAGAGCGCTGAAGAACGCATATTGAGAAACAGCCTATGCCTTTGTTTGTTGTGAATACACGCCCTCTAGTGGTGAAAATTACAGTGTGCCTTTAATATTGTAGATGTTTTCTTTTTTTCAAGGCATTTAACTAAAAACCTGTTTAAACAAACAAACTAACAAACCCATCACTTAATTTAATCCTACTTTTAAAAATGTCACTCACCCTGTAGTTCAAATATACTAGCTCATTACCAGGCTTTGACCTACAAAAATACATCATCCCTAAGAATTCTTCTGCCACTGGTCAGGCAAAATGATAATTCTGTTCCCAGACTCATCACTTTGGTTAAAGGGATCGATCACCCAACAATTAACTCACTCTAAATTCAATTCTTTGCCAAAACATGGCATGTAATGCATGTAAACCTCAACACTTTGGTATTCAAGAAAACATATACAGGCAAAACCAAATTAACACCTGTGGCTTCTTCAGATGCATCAATGTCTTACAGTGAAACAGTTGGTTTGAGCAAGAAACTGAAAATTATTTACAGAATTATCCAAAGATAACATTAATCCACAGACCAGTGAAACACATTCACAGCAGTCTGGAATGTGAGCTTTCTGTCACGTAAATTCACACACGAGCTGACATTGTGTATTCATAACAGAGAAGGAGGACGGCTATGTTTTATTGTTTATCAAAATCATATTTACTTATTCTGAAACATGTATAAAAGAGTATCATTACTGCACATTTTATGTGTGCAATTTCATTTATTTCATATACAACATCATATCTAGACTGTCATAAACATACTGAAGGCTGCTGCTTGGAAATAACATTCAGTTTCTTCCACACATGAATCATAAGACCTCAGTGTAAGACATAAGTCGCATCATAAAACCTTAATGTATCATCAGCATGTTTTTTTTGTTTTTAACTCTTAAAGGGTCAGTACCTTTTAATTAGCATTTTATGAATCACCAAAGACCATAGATTGTGTAGTTAGCTACATGGAAAGTAAATTAACAGCAAATATTCGTTTTTAGGTGAACTATCTCTTTAAGACATTAACTTTTGTTGGGATGCTCAAGCCAACATATTTTAAAAGCAGTTTAATAACACACAAAAACCTGCAGCTTTAAATATGCTTCTGTCGCGTGATTCTCCTTCTGGCCTATAGGTGGTGTCGGGGAGCACAGGAGAAAGAGCTGGCCTGCGTAAATGGGATGTTTTGATTGAAGTGAATGGCCAGAATGTGGAAGACGAGTATTTTGATGAAGTGGTGAGACTGATAACAGGAGGAGGAACACCTCTCAGGCTGCTGGTGGTGGATGGACTTCAATATGACAAATTAAGAAACACCAGGCAGACCATAAATTTGGGACTTAATAACAAGGTGAGACCTGCTCACAAATGTGTAGCAATTTCCACATTTCTAGATACCTTTTAAAATCTGGTTATTATGTTTCAGGTTCCAGATGCTTCACAGGACGATTTTGTGTGAATGTAGTAGTCAGGTACAGTTTTATGAATGTATTTTGTTCATTTAAAGGGGTGGTCCACTATGATATCATATTTTAAACTTTAGTTGATGTGTAGTGTAACTGTGTGAACATAAACAACATCTCTGAATGTAATACGCTTCAATGCAAAGGGAGACATTGGCTTTTACAGAGTTAGCCTTGCCGAGCCTACAGCGAACGAAGTTTGGAGACTACAAAGAAATACATCTGGATTAATGAAATCATAAACCCTTATCCATAAGGTTATGCACATTCATCTGGGGTGGCCAGATTATAGCAGTGGGCTAAAATGCTGTCCAAATGCTGCTAATTTCACAGAGCTTCTACTGTTTCTGTATTTGGGCTACCAAAGTAAACGACACAAAGAGGGAAGGGCTTACATTTTAATTTTAATTATGTTACAGAGAATTTTAAAAACAATAAAGCATTTGACAAAGGACAGTTTCCAGAATCTCTCCCAGTTCAGTACTGGATTAGGCTAAAAACTCCTCAAAGAAGGAACAGCTCCAACCATAATGGACGAAGCTGTGGATTGTAAGCCACAACCTTTAAGTGTTTTATTCGTTAAAATTTATCAACTAAATGCACAGTTTTTAGCGTTAACAATATGTTGCAGTAAGGACGTAACCAAGGATGTAAACAACAGGAAATGCAGTTTGGCACCGTTAACAATTAAGCTACAAATGCGTTTTTATCCGTCAAACCCCTGTAAACACCCACAATCTGCAGCAGCGCTGCAGTGTCTCTCTATGTGGCTGCTTTCCCTGCATTCTACATTTCAAATAATGAACTTGCAAAAGAGATGTGAACATTTAATATTACATGCTTATTCCGAATATATGTGAAAGACACTTGTCAGATTTTATTTTAAAGAGCAGGTATGAGGTTCAGCTGTGTCCTTTTCATTTTCTGTCTGATTCAGGCTAACAGTTAAACTGACTGACAGTGTATTTACAAAAAGGCAAAGCATGTGCTAGTAGACGTGAAGCCGATCCATGAATCACAGCACATTATGTTAGCTGACCAATCAGAGCCTCTTGAGGGCGGGCCTTCCAGGAACTAGGAAATATGACATTTGTTTTCATGTTAGCTGAGTAGCAGTATATATTTAAAGTAAGATAAATGAAAAAATAACAAGTGTGATTTTCTACAAGTGAAGCATGAGCACACGTTGCTTTGCATCTTATAAACACAACCAAGCCTTAAAAATACACTCTGGACCACCCCTTTAAATATATATGGAAAGATTAAATTGTCTGTAATGTTTTTTTATATATATGTAAAACAACCTTTCTCTACTGGAGAACACAAATATTGTTTATTTGGCTAAAAAGTCATTTCAATAGCTTGATGTAAATGTACAGATATTGTCTTATGTTGTGCAAAGATGTTTACAAAAGGGTGAACATTGCTTGTCAATAACCACTTTTATTTTAGTCACTATTAAAAATGAGCAGTACATGTGTAATATAAAGATCATGCAGGAGGAGTTGTGTACAATTTGGTTTTCAAAAAGAAAAAAATATATATATTTAGTTTTAGGACTATAAAACGTTAAAATGCTAAATGTCTTAATATTTGCTCATGTCTCATTCTGGTAAATAATATGTGTAGTTATCTGTGACTTTGTGTCAATATGCTGATTTAAGATTTATTTCACAAATATTGTCAGGTGTGTAGCTTAAGTAAATTCAGTTCAAAGTGTTTTGAATTGTGCTCTGAATGTCAATCGATGTATATTTAAGAATGCAAATAACATGACGTTTACTATGTGTTTCGATCAGTTTTTACATGTGAAATCATTAATAAATTTTATCAAGAAGCTTTTTTTAAACCTCAACTTTTTCCGCAGTCCTCTTTTTGGACATCCTCCAGTTCTGTAAATCCAAAGAGAAATTAATTTTCACTTATTTATTATTTACAAGAAAATATTTGCAGATTAATTAGTTTAACTTTTAAATCCAACCTGTAAGAATTTGGTCAATGCATGTAACAACTCTATTAGCATCCTCCTTGCTGAAGCACATTGGAGGTTTGAATTTGATGACACTGTCCCATGGTCCATCTGTGCTCATCACTATACGATCCTCTTTCAGCCTGAACAAATTAGAAAAAGCAGTTGGTCATCAGATACATGTAACTAGATGAGAAAAAAGAGAAGATGTCTGTACCTTCGGACTAGATGTGCTGCTTCTTCTGTTGCTGGTTCTCGGGACTCTCTGTCTTTAACAAGCTCCATACCTATAAACAGCCCAACACCACTGGAAGAAAAAACGAAAACAAAAGACAGACTTGCTATGCTTTCTTGTTTATTTTAAAGCATGAAGTTAGCCATTTCCATCAATGAATAAATATTTAAAGAGTAACAAAAAACAAATCTTTTCTTTTGGAATTACCTCACAGTTCAAACTTTCTAACTCAGAAGTTCAAGTTTATATAATAAAATTCAGATTTTCTTTCCTCACATTTATTACTTTTTCTTGAAGTTGAAATTCTGAGATTTACATTTGAAGACATGATTATTAACTTATACCCAAGTGACATTTAACAGAGCAAGGAAAATGAGTAAGTCTTGTTATATTTATCTTCCAGCAAAAAATCGTATTGCTTTAAGTTTGGCTGAGATTTTAAAATATGTAAATGCAAAAACTGTTACAGACAATATTATTTGTCGCCTTCAGTAAATTTTTTTGATTGTCTGAACAAATACTGAACAAACTACAATTGTCCTATGATTTGCCTTATTACCCTAGTTAAGCCTTTAAATCACATTTTAAGTTACTAGATACTAATACAAGTATCTTGCAAAATAACTAATAAATCTTATCATGCATGTCATCATGGCAAAGAAAAAAATAAATTAGTTATTGAAAATTAAATCTTAAAATTTTTAAAACTTATGTTAAAACTAAATATTAAAACTATAACTAAGTTTAATACTAATATTCATGACTAATATTAATACTAATACTATATTAAAACTATAATTAAATATTAAAACTATTAAACTATTATGAAATTAAATAATAAAACTATTATTACTATTATATTACACACATAAAAATGTGTTGTAAAAAACTCCATTTAATAGCACTTACGGAATATTTGAAAAAGTGTAAACATTTTGCGGGAGGGATAATAATTGCCTGTTTATATCTGTCAAATATTTCAGAATTTTGAGTTTCCCTCTCACATTTCCAAACAAAAACATGCAATTGTGAGTTTATTTTTGAAAAGATATATTCATTATTACCATAGTATTACAATAGTACTAGACAAGATTTATTTTGTTTATTTTATACCGCACATCTCCGATGAGTAGATGTTTTTCCTGAAGCTGAAGGAGCAGCTGTTTAAGATGACCTCCGACACGCACCGCATTGCCTCTGAGATCTTCCTTCTCTATCACATCTAAAACTGCCAGACCAATGGCGCAGGACACTGGGTTACCACCAAACTGCATGGGAGAAACCCGAAATGTTACTTTTACAGTTTTCAAAACACCTAAAACTATATGAATTTACATTTAGTCATTTGGCAGACGCTTTTGTCCACAGCGACTTCCAATTGAGGAGGCATTTAGTAATACAAAAAGAAGAGGCAATACAAATGCTAATTTTACAAAAGAACTGTTTGTGCTCAGAGAACTAAGTGCTAGAGTACGGTGTGTGTTTTATTAGAGAGAAAAGAGTGTGCTTTGTCAAGCCCACTTACCTGTGTGAGCCACACTTAAAATTGCATAAAGTTTTGAGGTTATCGTGTGGATAAATGACAAGGCTTTAGAAAGTGACTTATATGTGTGAAATATGAAAGTGATATATCGTGCAGCTCTCTAACATACATTATCACAGAATTAGTTCCAAGCATATCGGTGTTCTAAGCACTCACTGTGTTGAAGTACTCCACTCCATTGGCTGTAAAAGCACCAGCGATCTCCTCTGTAGTGACCACGCATGCAATGGGATGACCGTTGCCCATCGGTTTGCCCATGGTCACAATGTCAGGGCAGAAATCTTCACCCTCAAGCTGAAACGCCCAGAAATGACTCCCAACACGACCAAAGCCTGTCTGAATCTCATCTGCCACATAAACCCCTCCTGCTTCATGAACATATCTGAGGGTAAAGCAGCTTCATTTACTGGTTTCCTGATAAAGTATAAAGATACTTATCAAATTGTAGAAAAACACTTACTCTGCTACTCTTTTACAATATCCAGTGGGGAAAATGATTTGACCTCCAACGCTGGGTAAAGACTCAGCAAAAAAAGATGAAATCTGTTGATAAAATTAATCATTTATATAATAGGTTATCCAATAATGTACATTGTCATCATTTGCTTTTTCCCAAACTTGAAATACAATAAACATCAGTGGGGTCCAAATCAGCATTTTAATCCAATTTAGATACCAGTTTTTAGTTCCTTAGACACCAAACCCTGTCCTGTTAACCAAACTCTCAATGATCAACATCCATTTTTGTAATAAATCACTCTTTTTTTAAAAACTAAACAAGTTCAGGCAGTTAGACATGATTTGCAAATCGTATACACTCTTAATGCAAAAATGTATATACATTTCTACAGATTAAAATTAAAATAGTTTTAAACGTTGATGCTATTGTCTTTTGTTACACAACGGTAAACACGGGCAGCAAAAGTTTACACAAATAGAACACAATTGTCATTTACACACAACACAAACTTTCACTTTTTTCTGAAGATGTGATCAAACCGGCTGTTAGGAGTTATGTTGCATTTACTATACTTTTTTTTTTGCAATTGCAAGTTCAGGCTTTAGCCAGCCTGGTAAAAGGGGTGGTTCTTTATTCTCAAAAAAGTGGACCTTTTTGCAGTTATACGCCTCATTTTCTATTTTTCACTTTTTTTTAGCTGAATTAGCTTGTCGGATGGTCATCATAACCACTCTTTTTGATGTACCGAAAATATTTCCTAAAGATTTAGAATAAAGAAAATTGACACGTATATTTTTTAAAATACAAATTTATTACATCATAATATCAACAGAAAACATTTTTAAATTAAAAACTGTAGCCTATTGTAATTTATTAGGCAAATAACAAACCGGTCAGCACTTTCAACTTTCCATTCAAGAATTTGGCCATTTAAACAAAAAATATTTTCAAACAACAACAACAACAATAATAACAATAATAAAAACAGTAATAATAATAATAATTTAGAGCTTCACAATTTTCCTAGCCTCTTTTCATGGATAACAACAATAGCCAAAATAGTATTGGAATAAATCTTAATATGGGCTGCTTTTGGTGCTACACACTTTTTTTATTCGTCATGTTTTCTTTCAAGAATAAGGTTTAGAAAAAAATATACTTGTAAAATATTTTCTCTATTTAAAAACAATACAGTAGCGAAAGATGACTTTGCTTACGTCATATATTAGGACTCTTGAAAAATAACTATTCCAAAACGGAATAACTGAAGTCACACCAGGATTACGTTCGATCTTAAAGCCTTTTGATGGGTTATTTTTACTATTTATGATGGCATAGCAGTCAAAATAGGACGAATGAGCTCATGAATGCGACAAATTCTGGAACTTTGTCACTGAGCGGTGGGTCTTTCGAACCTCACAAATCTTCCCTGGCTACAGGCCTGTAGTTTAAACATTTTTCTATAACTACTGTACAGTACATATTCTGGAATTTCTCCAAGTGTCTAATGAATGATCTGTAGGGTTTTTTTTGTACAGGTTTTTTTTTTTTAATCTATAGTATTTTGTTCATTTTAATTTGAAAGTTTTTGTAATTTTGTACATAATTTGGTAAATAAATGTTATTTTATATTTTATTATTTTTATTAAATTTAATTAAAATGAGATGTATTTTTTTGGTGAAAATTCTAGCTGAAATAAAATCTGATAATTTTTTTTATTGTTTCATTTAACTTCAGTTAAATCTAATAACCATGGACACCACTGACTTTTATTATTCATTCATTCATTTTCTTTTCGGCTTAGTCCCTTTATTAATCTGGGGTTGCAACAGCGGAATGAACCGACAATTTATCCAGCATATGTTTTAAGCAGCGGATGCCCTTCCAGCTGCAACCCATCACTGGGAAACACCCATACACACTCATTTACACACATACAGTGCGGACAATTTAGCCTACCCAATTCACCTATACTGCATGTCTTTGGACTGTGGGGGAAACCGAAGCACCCAGAGGAAACCCACGCCAACACAGGGAGAACATGCAAACTCCACACAGAAATGCCAACTGACCCAGCCGAGGCTCGAACCAGCGACCTTCTTGCTGTGAGGTAAACGTGCTACCCACTGTGCCACCGTGAAGCCCTGACTTTTATTATATATACAAAAAAAATGTAAAAACATTTATTTTTTTATCTTAACCATACCTTGCGACCTTTCTTATGCGCCTCTTCAATCAGGCTTTTGACCGTGTCTGCATAAGCCTGTCCAGGCTCAGGATGATCTTCTCGATAGATACCGTGGTAAGTATCAGGGAGAGGTGCCTGTAGATATGCAAAAAGAGCCTTTAGATATGTAGCAAAGAGCCTTTTTTACAGCTTAAAAAATGTTTTTATGTCTTGTACACACCACATGAACCCACTCTTTCTGGCCCTCCAGTTTCCTGAACTTGTATGGGCTGATATCAATAAGCGAGGTCAGATGTCCATGATATGCACTGAAGAGGAAGGTAAAGATGACATATAAATAAGCAAGTTCCCATGACCTGTTAATGTAAAATCTTTACATCGAGTAAAGCTTACTGATCTAGAACGATCACATCCTGATGTCTGGTGTACTGACGGGCCAGTCTCAAGGCCAGATCGTTAGCCTCTGATCTTTAAATGATGACAAACATCTTAAAGATTTTGTTGAACAGTGCTTTTAAACCCAATGAAAAGCCACTTACCCTGAGTTGACAAAATAGAAGACAGAAAGTTTCTTTGGGAGAGTGGCAGCCAGTCGATCAGCATACTGCACTATATTATCATGAAGGAATCTAGTGTTTGTGTTCAGAAGATCCATCTGAGCGCCAGCCACCTGAGTGATGCTGGGGTGACTGTGACCCACTGAAAAGATCATGTGATTATGTACTTGACACTTTTGGAAAGAGCTATGGAAAGCCTATTTAAATTCAGTGACATGAAGACAAGAGCTGCTTCTTTTTCTGTAGACATATAGAGTGACCAGATGTCAGTTTTTTGAGGAGTCTAAATGTTTGTTGTCTTTTCCCCGACTGGAGATGTTTTAATTTAAAATAAATTTACCAGATAAACACAAAGATTGCACAAAAATTGCACAAAGTAACAATTTGGTTTTGGCAAAAATAATGAACAAAGTAACAGGGTTAGACAAACCACTTTTTTAGTCCTTTTATTAATCAGGGGTCGCCACATCGGAATGAACCGCCAACTTATCCAGCATATGTTTTACGCAGCGGATGCCTTTCCAGCTGCATCCTATCACTGGGAAACACCCATACACATTCACACATACACTATAGAAAATGTAGCCTTCCCAATTCACCTATAGCGCATGTCTTTGCTCTCAGAGGAAACCCACGCGAACATGGGGAGAACATGCAAACTCAACACAGAAATGCCAACTGACCCAGCTGGGGCTCAATCCAGCAACCTTCTTGCTGTGAGGCGATAGTGCTACCCACTGCACCACTGTCTATTTTGTGCGCCCTACATCTATTTTGCCTACTTGTACATTTTCTAATGATTTTTGAAAACATTTTTGATTTTTGATACATTTTACAAAATATTTAACTTTGATGAATGGATGTTTCTTTTTTTAAAATAGTAAAACTGGCAATAATACATTTAATAATGCTTTGAGGTCGATCATTTTTCTTGGGAAGTTTCACATACACAAAGTAAAACTGATGTCTGTTACTCCTTTCTTTATTTTTTTCTGTAAAGATTTATAAATATTTTATAAATCTTTGACCGCAATTACAAGCAACAAGAAGACTATAAAAATCTCTCCAATAATGAAAAAAATAATCTGTACAATCTAATAATTTAAATATATTTTAATTTTATGTATGTTCTGCATCACTTGCTAAGTTTTTTGAATGACTGTTACATACAGTTGAAGTCAGAATCATTGGCCCCTCTGTTTATTTTCCCTCCAATTTCTGTTTAAGGGAGAGAAGATTTGTTTAACACATTTCTGATTAAAATAGTTTTAATAACTCATTTCTAATAACTGATTTATTTTATCTTTGCCATGATGACAGTAAATTATATTTGACTAGATATTTTTCAAGACACTTCTATACAACTTAAATCGACATTTAAAGGCTTTACTAGGTTAATTAGTTTAATAGGCAGGTTAGGGTAATTAGGCAAATTATTGTATAATTTTATTGTTTTTGTATAACTAAATTAAAAACTGCTTTTAATATAGCTGAAATAATACAAATAATACCTTTTTTAAAGAAGAAATATTATTATCATTGTATTAACATCATTTGGGAAATATTTTAAAATAAATAAAAATTCAAAGGGGGGCTAATAATTCTGACTTCAACTGTATGTCATTTTACAATCCTGTATTCTTGTCAGTTACATGCTTTAGTAAAAAATAAACAAATTACATTTTAAAATATATTAAAATAGAAAATAGCTATTTGATAATGTAATAAAGTGACAACATTAGTCAATTTTACTGTATTTAGATGATTTACAGTATGTATTGACAAGCATTCCATGTTGAGGTTTTATTTATTAACGCTTTTGTCTAATTATAATTTATATACGTCATCAGCTGGATACATGCCATAACTGCAAAATGTCCTTACCATGTTGAACATTACTAATGCAATCTAAATACTGCGTGCCATTCTCGTCGTATAAATATTGACCCCGTGCTCGGACTATTTTCACAGGATCATGGGAGAAAAAGAGTCTGCAGGACTGTCTGAAAAGACATTGAAAAGAGCAGAACAGCATTTCAAACTGCAGCAGACCTCATAATAAAAAAGCTAACGGTAAGTTTAATATTTGATCCAACTTACGCAATCAGCTTCTTGCGCATTTGCAAAGTCTCATTTTTGTGAAAAAGTTCAACAGCCATTTTAAACGACGAGGTCTTCTGCTAAAGCCGACTGTTTTTACAGCCTGAAGACATCTGGCAAGACTTTGAACCAAAGAAAAGGGAGAGGGAGGGAGATAGAAAAAAAACATTGAAATAAACAGTAGTGTATCGTCCACTTCTGATGACGTCACACAACGCGTAGGATCTGGATCTCCTGCACAGCACCATATCCGATTTACCACATTTCAACCTAAAACAAGGTATGACGTGCCTTCATGTTGATGTATTTGATCGTATGTCTGCTATTTAAAGCGTTATTTACTTTATTTATACTTTGTTGCGGTGTTTCAGCAATATTACCAGCGCGCTGTCAGTTGCTAAGTACGCTGCTAGTTGTTTAGCTAGCATAAGACACCTGACAGCAGGGAAGGAGATCTGTCACTGCCTTTGACGGCTAGAAAGCTCGTGTTTTTAGGTTTACATTTATCACACATCTTCTCAGACCCCCTAGGCTCTGTTTGCTGGTAGTCTGACTCACTTCTGGGATGAATATGACACATATGTGTAGCAAGTTAGCATTCCTGACACTAATTTGCAGTCCCTATTGATCTGCAGTCTGGTTTCCTGTTGCTTGAATATGACTCATACATGATTTAATCAATTCTTGTTGATTACTGACTCACCAGAAGAGCAAATAAATCGTTATGGGATGTCATCTTGCTTTTTTTAAATATGATGTAGGCAAACTCTTTTGTGATGAGCTCAGTTTTTTTGTTTTGGAATTTAGGTAGATCAAATTCAGTATCATTGCTAGGCTTTGGACTTGGAGTTGTGGATCTAATTCACATCTGATTTTTCCTCCTGCAGACAGTGAAAATACTTGTTGATGGAGGACGTGCTCCAGGGAAATGACAGACCAGGGCAATAACAATCAGAACATCTCACAAAACCCTTTCGCAGCACTCTTCAGTTCAGTTGCTGACGCAAAACAGTTTGCATCTGACCAAAAGCAACAGCGTCCAACTGAGCAGCAATGTAAGTTCTTGGTAATAAAGGAGCACTCTACATTTATCCTTGAAGGATTACATCGATGTGATGGTTCTTTGTAATTGTTTATCCCTGCAGCAGTAGATTCAGGAGAGAGCCAGTCTGAGTCAGAAAACTCTGCGTCTGAAAGCATTGATGAGAATGATGACTCAGTGGCGGAGATCAGCCGATCGTTCCGCTCACGACAGGAGCTCTGTGAACAGCTCAATGTCAACCACATGATCCAGAGGATCTTCCTCATCACTCTGGACAACAGTAAGAGCAAAAACACCTCTCTGAAATGAGAACTACCTGTCCCATTGTAGGTCTGTGTTTATGTAGTAATTATAACTATAATAATAGTTTTGTTTTATTTGACAACTAATATACAGTACATTATTGTTCAGAGGATTTGCTTGGTGTTCATTTTGAAACATTTTTGTAACCCTCTGTGCAGATATTTGATTACTAATACAGTAATAATGCGAAATAATAATAATAATAATAATAATAATAATAAATCAAAATAATAATAATAGTAATATTATTAATCTGTTTTCAAATGTAATTTATTGATAAATATAATGTGATAAAATTTTGCATGATGCTTCAAAAAGCTGATTTAGCCCCTTTTGATGGATATAAGGTGCAAAGTTTCTACACATGCAACACACAGATATTGTATATACATTTTAATAGATTATAGTGCATGTGTGTGTGTGTGTGTATCAATTTTGATTTGACTTGTGTTCATTTTCGTATATCTTGATAATCAATACTGAATTGACTCCCTTTTTAAATGAATTATAAAATTGATATATAATAAAGATTAATTTAGAAATTGTTTTCCAGCTCTAATTGCATATAATATTCCCCCTTTCCTTTTAAAAGATGATACTTTTTTTTATCTGACCCTCTGAGACAGAACAGTTTTGAGAAGTACTTGTCATAACTCATCATTATTCAGAAAGAAAGAGACATTAGATAGTTTATACTAAATGACTGTTGTCTTGATGATCTCAGATTTGATGAGCATATCATGTTGACATGCCGTTTCCAGGCAGTGCTGCAGATGAGCTCATCCACTGCAGAATGGTCCATTACGTCATTTATGTTGCTCTCATTTGTATATTTATCTATGTCCTTTACATCTATCTACTGTCCATCACGCTGGTCTGTTTGCCATTCAAATCTTTGTTTCTGGGTTTGGGCTGTATTATTATTATTATTTTTAGTTTTTGGAAGGTAAGTAATGATTATATTAAAAAAAGATGCATTAAACTGGTCCAAAGTGAAAGTAAGACATTTTATAATGCTATAGATTTCTTTTTATTTAAAGTTGCTGTTTAAATCCTGTAACAATTCCATATTTTTTATTTTTCAATGTTTAGCTGCAAATGTATTTAACATATCAAGAAGAAATGGAACAAACTATTTCTGAAATCATTTTACTCTGAAGACTTGAGTGATTGCACTGACAACTTTAAATCACAGAAATACAGCAGGTTTTCAAATATCTTAAAATAGAAAACAGATATTTTATTGTAGTATTTCAAAATAATGCAGTTTGTTTTACAGTATTTTATAAAATAAATGCAACTTTAACTATAAGAGACATAAGAAAAACTTTATAGATTCTAAACTGTGGTGGTGAGTCTGTGTCTCCATAATGTAGACTAAGAAAGAATTTACTGTTATATAATGATCCATGCTGGTTGAAATCTCTCCAGGTGATCCGAGTCTAAGAAGTGGCAATGGCATCCCACCACGCTGTGTTTACCTTGAGGAAATGGCAGCTGATCTTGATGGTCAGGACTGGCTTAACATGGACACCATAGAGCAGGTACAATGTGTTAAGAGTGTTGTGCTTTTCCAGATTTGTATAATGTCAGATAAGTCTTATGCATGTGCATATAAAGAACTTTGAATAAGAACAATATTGCTCTTTCTTTCCCTCCAGGCTTTGTTCAACAGGCTGCTTTTGCAGGAGCCAGGAAACCATCTCATTTACATGACCTCCTGTAGTGTAGTGAATCTCTCGGCAGATCGAGACGCTGGAGAGAAACGTGCCATACCTTACCTTTACGCCTGCTACCAAAGAGCTAAAGAGGAGGTATTTTCTGGAGAGATTATTTCTAGATGCGCCATCATGCCATTGGACATATTGACAAAAAAAGTTGTTATCATGGGCTTTTTTGTCAGTGTATCTACTTGAAAAATTTGTTAAAGGAATACTCCGCTTTTTTAGTACTATGATATTAAGCACGGCTGTTACCTATTTTTATGTACGATGTAATATAATTGCGCCTGCTGCAGCCATGGTACAGCAGCAAAATTCCTTGATTATTTTGCCCGAATGAGATTATTGTTCCTAGTCATATTAATCGAGAAAATAGCAACTTAGTACACAATGTAACTACAGAAGAGTCAAGCTTTAAATTAGATTTTTTTTTTTTTACATTTGTTAGTGAGTTGCTAATAGTATAATCAGATTCAATGATTTATGCTAAGCTAAGCTAAAAGTGTACCCCACCAAACCAGAGATTGACTAAATGGATTCAAAAATGGTAAAACTCAGGGTCATCTCAGCCTCAGATGTCACACCAAGCTTCACCTGATCATCTGATGCATATGACACACTTTTCTGGAAACACTTTCAAATTCATTTTAACATGGGTCGCTTTTGGTGCTTCCCACCATTTTATTGCTCTTTTTTTTGTTTCAAGAACAAGGTCCAAGGTTTAGAATAAAAGTTACCTGTAAAATGTTTTTTCTGTTTAAAACAACACAGTAGTGAAAGATGACTTCACTTATGTCACATTGTATTTTTTTTCTAGTAGCTGAATGTTGATAATTTTCACCTTTTATGATGGCATAGCAGTCAAAATAGAACAAATGAGCTCAGGTTTGGGACAAATTCTGGACATTTGTCTGTAGGTGGCTACGGCCTGTTGCTGACAGATCACTAAGTATATTGATGCATCGTTGTTGTAGACTTTTAAAAACGTTTGTGAATGAATGATGCATGGTTGTTTACCGGCCTCATTTACACACTAATCTGTTAATCTGTCCGTCAAAGAGCATCGTGGGCGATCCTTGACCATTCAAATCGGTCAAAGTTCCCAGACCTTCATCCGTCAGTCTGAGGTCTGGCTACTCAAGACTTAACTCTAGGTGACTTGAAAAATTACAATATTTCCTCCAAGAAGTGGAGCATTCCTTTAATGTTTTTGTTTAAATCATAATTTTTAAAAATAGATTAAAAAATGTAACTAAAATGAAATAAAACTGGACAGTTGTGCCAAAAGAATGTTTGCTTATTTACACAAAAATATGCATATGCTTCAAAACCACACAGATCACTAAAGTCCCTGAGAAACTGTTGTCATTTGCTGTGCACTGCAAAAACCTGACCGTGTCCAATGCACGAACTGTGCTGCTGACCCCAGAGATCTACATCAGTCAGAACGTTTACGAGCAGCTTCTGGACCTGTTGCTGGAGGCTGTCAGAGGAGCCCGTAAGTGTCATATTTGAGGACATCTGATACATTTGAAGCTTCTGAAATGACTTTGTCTGGATGACTTTGTTTGCATGGTTGTCTCTGCAGAGTTTGAAGAGGTTGTGGAGTTTTTAGAGGAGGTCATTGCTAGCCTGTTGGCTGACCAAGAAGTGCGGACCTTTGGGGAGGTAATGGTGCCAGTGTTTGATATTTTCCATGGCCGGGTTAAAGACCTAGACCTCTGTCAGCTGCTGCTGTTTTCCTACCTGGAAATTCTCCTGTACTTCAGTCGACAAAAGGACATTGCTAAGGTTTGATTAAACACTTAATAAAGCCCAAAGTATACTTTGTATTTTATGCATAAAATAGGGTATATGTGACTTATATACATTGCTCATCTTAATTGAGTTCACCCCGTTTTGAAAATGAATATTTGTATCCATTTCTCAGTGAATATAGGCAATGTATTTTGGTGCATTTAAACAAAACCGATTTATTAAACAGATATATTTATTAAAATAATAGTTTAGTCACCAAATATATTTAGAAATTGAAAGATAATACAATTAAATTCAAGCAAAATAAATTGCAGCCTACAAAATTTCAACTATATTTTAAAAATTTAGCTTTTCCTGATTTTCCCTCTTATTTAAATTTAGTATTTAATATTTTTCTATATCATATAAATTGGGGTTTACTAGTTTTTGGACTATTATCGTTAGTTATTTTGTTATATAAGCTCCAGATTTAGCTTCAGTACTGACAAATCTAATGTATATGCACAAATATAATATCGTATAGCTTTTTATTTAATATTTGAAAATAAAAGATAGATTTGCGAGGGTGTACTTATATATGCTCAGCACTGTACTGTACATATTGTACCCATATAGCATAATATTGCTAATCATTATTATTTAAAGTATCAATTTACCCAAAAATTAAGATATTTAAATGAAATCTGAGAGCACTCAATTCACATTAAAAAGGACCAAAAACATTGTCGAAACACACCATGTGACTTCAGTTGTTTAACTGTAATTATATGAAACTGTAAGAATGCACGAAAACAGAGCCAAAAACATTACAAACAACTTTGTTTGCCAATGTCTCTCATGTCAGATCAAGGTGTACATTTACTATGGGCAAAACAACGCTTGCTTTTTGCACTGCTGACTCTAATGGCAAAATGTTGTATCCCAAGAAGAGAAGAAATTGGCTAGACAAAGTCATATGTACTTTTTGAAGTACTTCTTGGAGCTTTGCATGATTACTGTTGAACCACTGAAGTCACATGGAATGTTTTGACGATGTTTTTGGTTTCTTTTTTTGGACTTTGAATATCTTGTGACCATTGTTGACTATGGAGGATGAGAGAGTTCTCGGATTTCATCTAAAATATCTTAATTAGTGTTCTGAAGATAAACAAAGGTCTTAGAGGATCGGAACAACATATGGGTGAGGAATTAATAGCAGAGTATTCAGTTTTGGGTGAACTTATCTCTTTAATATATTCAACTTGACACACAGTATGGTAACTGTAGCTATTTTCGTAAACATAAAACATTTTAAAAAACATGTTCTGATATTAGGTTTTAATGGAGCACATTCAGCCCAAAGACCCTAACAATGGGATTCAGTATCAGAAAACACTTCTGGGAGCCATCCTTAATATTTCATGTCTGCTGAAAACTCCTGGTGTGGTTGAAAACCATGGCTTTTTCCTGAATCCATCTCGCTCCAGCCCACAGGAATTGAAGGTTCAAGAGTCAAATATACACCAGGTGAGCGAAAACAAAACAAAACAAAAGCTTTGTGACATTAAGTGAGCCGCATAACCACTTTCATTTCTTGTCTTCCTGTCTGTTAGTTTATGGGGCAGTTTCATGATAAGCTCTATCAGATCCTGAAAAACTTGCTCCAGCAGTCCGGCGAGACTCGCCACCTGCTGCTCTCGTGGCTGGGTGGCTGCCTGCAGGCCAACATGGGTCGGGCCAAAATCTGGGCAAACCAGATGCCCGAGATATTCTTCCAAATGTATGCATCGGATGCATTCTTCTTAAATCTGGGAGCCGCTCTGCTCAAGCTCTGCCAGCCGTTTTCTCGACCCTACTCTCCTAAACTCCTGACCTTTAACCCCACATACTGCTTGCTTAAGGAGCTGAGCGAAGAAGAGCGGCGTAACAGAAACGTGCATGCTAGAGGTGAAGTACCTGTGCTCCACCTTAACAAACACTAGCCTTAATGTCTTCTTTTGTGTAAGCTAAACAATGACTGGACAGATTGCTTTTGTTTGTCCTCTGCAAGACACTTTGGATAAAAGCATGTGCTAATTGCATAAATGCAAATAGAAACTATTAATACTTCTCTCTACAGGTCTGGACAAGGAGACATGTCTGATACCTGTGCCCCCTCAACAAACGGTTGAATTTGCCCAATCATACAGCCTTCTGACAGAAAACCTCATTCTTACACAACTCACCCTGTACCTTGGCTTCCATAGGTAATGCTAAAGAGTGATGCCAATTTGAAAGTAGAATAATTATGAGTAATTATGCAGTTAAAAATAACTTTTCTATTTTAAAATGCCATTTATCTATGTGATAACAAAACAAAAACGCTGCATTTCCAGCAGCCATTACTGTGATCTTCAGTGTCATTTCATCATTCTAATTTGATAATATAGGTGTTTAAAGGCATTTTCTATTATTATCAATAATGCTGAAAACAGTTGTACTGCTTAAAGGTGCAGTAGGTGATTGTCTACAGAAATGTTTTTGTTGTGCTGGTTAAAAGTCTCTTCACGTTCCTATAGTACTGACTAAAGTAAATGATCTTAATGTATTTATATGTGTTTTTATATTCTGAGTAAGGCATAAGACTAAAAAATGTTTGTCAAATTAATTTTTGGGCCGATAATTCCCATAATTCATCATTTTCATTTAGTTTAACAACAAAACATAAGTAAATAGCACTATTTCGCCTAGCCTGCTTTACTGAGCTGAAGTTGGTTTTATATTCACATCACATTGGTTCATTTTTAAACATTGACAACCTGTAAAGTGATCCCTATATTGTTTATCATGCTACTCTGAATATTCGGTCTGAAATAGCATGTAAGTATAGCTTAATAATAAGTGTAACTCCTGCACCCCGCCGGCCAAGCAACAAGCATACAGTAGTCACTTTAGGAAAAAGCGCATGAGAGTGTGAGAGCAGCAATCCTTGCATTCATGAAGTATTGCACATTATGACATGTCTTGGTTGCTACACAACTGAAAACATACTACATATAATACAGTTTTTCATTTGGAATTGTAGTATTATAAAGTACTATAAAGTTTTTTTACTGGCGAATAACATAATCTAGTGGGTTGTCTACTGTAATCTTTTAGGTCCACGTTCGTGTTTCAAGAGTCATGAGAGTCAAGAGAGTCAAGAGTTTTGGCTGATCACCAACTGCACCTTTAATTTTTTTGTATAAGATGCAATGCATGTTAGCTCAGCATTTTTTGATAAAGGGAAAGTTAAAAAGAGCAGCATTTTTAACATACACACAAAATATTTGTTTATCATTCATTCATTTTCTTTTCGGCATAATCCCTTTATTAATCAGGGGTTGCCACTGCTAAATTAACCACCTGTTTGTTTATCAATGAACAAAAAAACAACAAAAAAAAGCATTATTTTGGAATTTGTCATAGTAGATTTAAAATGCTCTTATATAAGATTTTTGAAGTTTGAGAATAGCCATCTAAAAACAAGTTTCATGAGTATGAGTCTGCACTTAAATCCATTTTATGGAGTTAATAAAGTCAGCAGGTGTCGAAATGATAGTGTGTGGCTTATTTATTTGGGTTAAAGTCTACTAAGTTTAGTAATTTTTTTATCATTTTTATGTTTTTGTTTAGCCAACGTTGGCAACACTGAGCTTAAGCACACCTCATTCCCTGTTTTTCTAACCACGCATACAGAAAAAAAAACAATTCTAAACTATGTCATTGGTGATTTTTATTTTATTTTTTGTAAATGTCATTGTCATTATCTGCATTTTCCAAGAGTTAATTTTGTTATTGAATGCGAATGTCACGAGGAAACGCAACTATTTTACATTTAGTCAGTTTAGTGGCTAATTCATACGAGTTTGGTCACATGAAAATGTATAATTTTTAAAAGGAGGCATGGCACCAAAACTACACCCCTAAACCCAATTGTAATTGGGGATGAGCAAATCATACTAAAATGTTTGAATGAGACTGTACAAATTCAAAGTATTATCCAGTAAATCAAAAACTTACAAATTGGCATGAGATATTGTTGGTCAGTCCTGTAAATTACTGCATAGTGTGTGTACAGGGCATGGTTGAGCACTAAAAAGTAAGACAAGTCAATGGGGTATATGCACAGCTAGTGTTTTTCAGCCAATGATAAACTTCCGGTGAAAGCTTAATGTGGCTATTTTCAATTTCATGAATGAAGTTCCTTTTACAGCATCGATAGTTTGTAATGTAATCACAATACATTCAGGTAAATAGACTTAAGCATTCATTTAGTTGTTCAAGCGAAAAACGAGATGAAAGACCGTGTAAGCACTAGTGCCGTCAGGATCAGCAGGCGAGCGCAAAAACTCCATTGAAAATACTGGGGTAATATAAATTGTCATATTTTAAAGACATGGCTGGGGGAAATGGAATTTAAAGCAGTGCGTCTTGTCCGCTCTGAGAACCACTTTATATATCGTAAATCTATCAGGTGGTTAAGATTACTGATTTTTAAAGAAATCAAACGTGGCATTTTTAGAATGGAAAGACACCGGAAGTTCACCGGAAGTGCTGAGGCTGGCTGTCTGATATAAAAAGTTTTTGTGCATATACCCCATTTACTTACAAGCATGTATGTAACTAGTGTGTACCAAATCATTACTATTAACTGTTTCTATGTATAAATAAATGAACATATGAGTTTCTGTTATTTGTGTGTCAGACTTCATGATCAGATGGTGAAGATGAATCAGTCTCTGCACCGGCTCCAGGGGACGTGGCGGGACACGCAGCTCAGTGGAGGCCCAGCAGCAGCAGAGCTGCGGGAACAGTTTGAACACCTTATGACCGTCTATCTCTCAACCAAGGCTGCAACCACACAGCCCACCATGTTGCAGAACTGCCTCAACCTCCAGGCCTCCTGCGCCGCCCTGCTGGTTCAGCTCAGCCTGGGCAATCAGGGCCCTGAACACATTCCTCTCACCTTCCCTTTACCTTCACTAGAGAACAGCCTGCTTTGCTATGTGCCAGGTAGCGACACAATGCTAAAAACTCTTACTTTTAGTGCACAAAATGCATAAATAGCAAAAACATCTAGTCACTAATAACACTTAAAGGGCACCTATTCTACTCCTTTTACAAAATGTAAGATAAGTCTTTGATATCTCAAAAATGTGTCTGTAATGTTTCAGCTCAAAATACCCATATAGCCTCAAGAATCTGCCCATTTTGGTGTCAGATTATACTGTAGCGTTTTTTGTAGCCTGTGGCTTTAAATGCAAATGAGCTGCTTCTCCCTGCCCACCATTCCCATGTGCGTGTCTGCTTCGTATCATGTGTTACGTCAGATAATCAGCAGTTTGTGAGTGATAGAGACAGACTCAGATCAAGCTGAAATACAGCTCATTAGTCAAAAATACCAAGTAAGTTTATTTGATGTATTTGTGGTGAAGTTTATTCAAGCCTTTCTGCAATGATGAGTCTCACATAAATGCTGATTGCAGTATACACAAACACACATACACGCGCAATTACTGACACTATGCTGCATGTTGATTATAGCTGTTTAGAATGACAGTGATTTTACTTGAAAATGGATTTTTACTTGTCTTTATTACAAACATGCTCTGTTTTAAAAATATTTTAAACTTATAAAATGTTTAAAAGTTACAGAGAGATAATTCCCACAAATATTTCAGTGCTAGTTTATTTGCAAAATAATGTTCTGTGGACATGTGTATACGTGTTATTATAGAAACATTGCCCCTGTCAGTCAATTCAGTGGGCAGGTAAAACTGCACTTCTACGTCACGTTGTGGTGGGCCTTAAAATAACTGGGATTTGGGTTCTATTTTAACATCAGGAAATTTTTAAAATAGACTTGTTGGGTTTATAACACTCCAATGTGACAGTGGACGCACAGTTCTGTCCAAACAGCTCACAAAAGTTTTCATCATAGGTGCCCTTTAAATCTAGACAAACATACCTAAAACTATTATTTTAGAATTTTTAGTATTAATTAAAAATATTTTATCTACGATTTAGTAACTAAATATTTTTGGGTTTTAAGAGTTGACAAAAATCTTTAAAACTATGCAAATCGCCTAGAATTTTTTGAAGGTATTTTCAATATGCTCAATCACCCTAAAGGTCCCTAACATTAAAGGTTATATTTAAGGATCTCTATTATAATGTGTACTACAAAACATTGACAAAATTCTCATTTTGAAAAAAAAAACTGATATAAACATCCAAAGCTTGCAGTTTGTCACTTCCTTCTAAATTGATTATTTTTCACGTCACCTCATATTTCAGTTTCTCATCAAATCTTGACCAATCAAATGCTCTCTAGTAGCTGACATGCCCCACCCCCGTAATATGCTTCGCATTTGCTTTTTAGTTGATGTGCTTTAGCTGAACCACTCTCACTGGCAGAGCTGTGATTTAACAAAACACTATTATTATTACTATTATGTTTTTTTTTTATGGGAGGACCTACTGTCACCCCCCCCCCTTCTTGTTTTAGTTGAGATTACCTCAAAATTGAATAAAAATGGACCTTGAAAATATTAGAAACTTTAATCTATGCCTCAAATGAATCTTTATTTAAATTTTTAATTGTCGTGGTTTTATTCTTAAAGCTAACAGCAGTCTAACTGAATATGCATTGCATAGTTTGTTTGTAGTAAAATGTAGCATAAAATGTACTTGATAAGACCAATTTTATTCTATTAGGATTTATAATGTGGTGTGCAGTGTGTTTTATTAGACTTTTTTATCTTTTTATTGAAAATAAAACGGGTCATATATTCTAGAAATAAATTTTTTTTTAGGACTTTCTTAGATATTTTTTTGTTGTATAAACACCCTAGCAATCTTTCAGTTTTCTGACAAGCAAATCTCCTGTATGTCCCACAGAGTTCTTTGCTGAAAACATGGGTGATTTCTTCATATTCCTGCGCCGCTTTGCTGATGAGGTGTTGGAGTCCTCTGCGGAAAGCTTAGAACACGTCCTGACCTTCATCACTGTGCTCATGGGCAATGTTGATAGGTGCGAGGCGGTGTGATGCTGAGCTTCTCATGCATTTTTTTGTGTGCATGCCATGTGGCTTGTTATTTAGTCTTGGTTATTTACTCACAGAATGAAGAATCCTCATTTGCGGGCAAAGTTGGCAGAGGTCCTTGAGGCTGTGATGCCCCATATGGAGACTCTGTCACCTGGCGCTGCCCAACCTATCATGTTTCAGCGCCAAAGGGTTTTCAGCTCATATCGGCACGCGCCCCAACTCGCTGAAGCCCTTATTACAGTGTTCGTGGATATAGAGTTCACCGGTCAGTTTCTGAAGCTTTGCCTACTCATTTTTATAGATTTGATTGCAGCATACTTTGTAAGATGTTGTCTGTACTGTTTCTTCAGGTGATCCACATCAGTTTGAGCAGAAGTTTAATTACAGGAGGCCAATGTACGCCATTCTGAAGTACATGTGGGGAGAGAAGAGTTACAGAGAGAGCATTAAGGTGTGAACCAGACTGATGTTGTACTGTAAATTCTAAATTTTATTTAATTTCTTGGCAACAGTTTTAACAACAAATCCTAAAAAATTATTTCAAAACACTTACTATGCTGGGCAATGTATATTAAATAACTGGCAATATTTTTTAATATATATATTTTTATAATTTTATTTATTGGTAATTAACAAGACCATACATACATACAGTTGAAATCAGAATTATTAAACACCCTTTGATTTATTTATTTTTTTCTTTTTAAATATTCCCCAAATTATGTTTAACAGAGCAAGGAAATTTTCACAGTATGTCTGATGATATTTTTTCCTTCTTGAGAAAGTCTTATTTGTTATTATTTTTTAAATACCATTTTAAGGTCAAAATTGTAAATCCCTTTAAACTAATTTTGGTTCGATAGTCTTCAGAACAAGCCATCATTATACAATAACTTGCCTAATTACCATAACTTGCCTAGTTAACCTAATTAACCTAGTTAAGCCTTCAAATGTCGCTTTAAGCTGTATAGAAGTGTCTTGAAAAATATACTGTTTACTGTCATCGTGGCAAAAGATAAAATAAATCAGTTATTAGAGATGAGTTATTAACTAGTATATTTAGAAATGTGTTGAAAAAAATCTCTCCGTTTAACAGAAACTGGGAGAAAAAAAAATAGGGGGGCTAATAATTTGGGGGGGTTAATAATTTTGACTTCAACTGTACATAGTATTGCACAGTGCAGAACAAAAAAATTACACATTATCTTAGTTTAAACCCACTCTTACTTTCCCATAAAACTATAAATCGTAAAGCATACAATGCAGAATCCATGAGAAATGACAATGATAATATCTGCTGATACTACTTGTTCAACATTTAACTGACTATAAGAAACTTTGCAAGTACATGTCAACTTACACTAACCACAACCCCAACCTAACAGTCTACTTGATAATCTATTGACAATTAGTTGGCATGTGGATGCAGTGTTACTTAAATTCAACAAAATGCGTTAAAGAGAACATCAAAATAAAGTGATACCATGAAACAAAATAAATTCAACAAAGTAAAATCTAAACAAAATATTTTAATTGACATTTTTTATGATGATTTTCCTTCCAGAATCTTGCCGACTATGCCTCTGAAAACCTTGAAGCCATGAATCCACCACTCTTCCTTAGGTTTCTCAATCTCCTCATGAATGATGCCATCTTCTTACTTGACGAGGCTATACAGGTACTAGTTAGTGGATTTTATGTTTGTTTACTTGCCCTAGTGGTTTTTTAATTACATTATCAATTAGCATCAAGTAATTGACTTTCATTAATGTGGTTAATTAGCATATTTACCTCCATGCATGTATAATATTAAGAAATATTGACTGATTAATGATGTGACACCCGTATGTGCATCTGTTGCCTTCAGTACTTAAGTAAGATCAAAATCCTCCAGCTGGAGCGGGATCGGGGGGAGTGGGACAGTCTGGCCCCTGACGCCCGCAGAGAGAAAGAATCGAGTCTGCAGATGTTTGGACAGCTGGGTCGCTTCCACAACATCATGTCAAATGAGACCATTGGCACCTTGGCTTTCCTCACATCTGGTAAGAGACGTTGGAAGAAAACCGAATGCACTCAATTCTGCCCGAATTCTTCTTCTTTTTATTTTTAGCTCATACACGACACATTTAGACTTGAACAGAAGGGGTTTAGATAATCGTTAAGAGAAACATTTGGCTTTTAGTGTGACAGAATTTTTTTGTGTGTTCATTTTCTTTCCTCCAGAGATAAAAGGTCTTTTTGTTCACCCCTTTCTTGCTGAGAGGATCATCTCCATGCTCAACTACTTTTTACAGCACCTGGTAGGCCCCAAAATGGGCGCCTTGAAGGTTAAGGACTTCAGTGAATTTGACTTCAAACCCCAACAGCTTGTGTCGGACATCTGTACTATTTACCTAAACTTGGGGTAAGTTAACCTTCTCTGTGTCGTCTTTTCCTCTAGATCAGTGGTTCTCAACCAAGTTCCTTGAGGACCACCAGCACTGCATGTATATGCATATGCACTGGATGTCTCCATGATATGAATGTCTCCTTTCTCTGTCACACACTTTACATGTCTTTACTCACACTATGCTATCCGAACTGTGCCTAGGCCCTTTTTCCGGATTGTGCTCTGAATCTGGCTCAGGTGCGGTTCACTTGGCCAGCTCTGGCCCGGTTGGAAGAGGTGTGTCAGAGCGCAGTTCACTTGGGCTTTGTAGTTTGAGTGCAAAGCGGAACTGAGCCCGAAACTGAAGACAAGACGTGACCTTTAAGGGACTGTTTCATATGGATTTATTAATCATTCTTACTGTTTAATGAACGCAAATTGTCTTAGATTATTAAAGACGCAAACCCTTCACTGCATATCAGCTGCACCTTCAGCAAACCTCATAACTCCTGCAGCACGAGGACTTTATTATTGTTTATGAGCGTCAAAAGTGGCTGATCTGTCCGGCGAAATATTTGACTGCATGTCACTGCATCCCAAACGACTAAAACGATGTACCTAAAGAAATCTCCACTGTGCAACTGTACATAGTGTTAGTATGCCCTTAGTCTCTGGTGATCTAAATCAGGTGTGTTTGGTGAAGGAGACATGGAAAATGTGCAGAGCTGGTGGTTCTCCAGGAATGTGGTTGAGAAACACTGTTCTAGATCTTCATTCTTTCATTTTCTTTTTGGCTTAGTCCCTTTAATAATCAAAGGTCGCCACAGCGGAATGAACTGCCAACTTATCCAGCATATGTTTTATGCAGTGGATGCCCTTCTAGCACTTGGAAACACCCATACACTCTTATTCACACACACACACTACGGCCAATTTAGCTAATTCAATTCTCCTATAGCGCAGTGTTTGGACTTTGGGGGTAACCCGAGCACCCAGAGGAAACCCACGCAAACATGGGAGAACAGGCAAACTCCACACAGAAATGCTAGCTGACCAAGCCAGGGCTCAAACCAACGACCTTCTTGCTGTGAGGCGATCGCGCTACCCACTGCGCCACTGTGACATCACTGCTCTAGATCTTATGGTTATAAAAATCTGACCACTGAAGCATAATATGTTACTGAAGACAACTAAAATCTGAAGGAGGCACCTTTGATATGTGTCAGTCCGTGCATTGAGATTGCATTTTTGATTTATTGCATAGCTCTTTTACATCAGACATGTCTGGCAGTGTTTTCTTAATCATGTTCTTTTCATAAATGTTTTATCTGTAAGTGTATTCCTTATAAAAGACATGCCCAATGGGTTACGGATATTAAAGTTGTTTCGTTTGAAACAAAAAAGAGATTATTTTGTTTGCAAGCTTTGATGCAGAATCATCCACATCAGCATCGCAATGCAATGGACAAAAAAAGTTTATTTTATTGACTTAATTTCATTTAGGAGATCTACTGCAATAGAACAAAAGTCCAATAGGAAAATAAAAACTTAAATTTTATCATTAAAAATACAGTTTCAGCTTTTTCTCACATTGTCTGAAATGGTTCATTCCAGGATTCAGTCTTTTTAAACTCCCCCTTTTCAGGTGCCTGCTTTGCTCTGATTGGTCCAGTGGTTCAGTCTGTTGTGATTAGTAAACGTCTTGCAGTGTGTCAGTAACTAAGTGTCCACAACCATAGCTTTCAGTCTCAGTTTAAGCTTAAAGAGACGTTTCACCTAAATCTGAATGTTCGATCATCATTCGCTCACCCTTTACTTGACTTCACAACACATAAGTTATTTTAAAAAATGCTGAAAACAAGTAATCATTGACTTCCAAAGTATTTGTTTTTCCTACTATGAAAGTCAATGGTTACATGTTTTTAATTTTCTTCAGAATATCTTCTTTTATGTTCAACAGAAAAGGGAAATCATAAAGGTTTGGAACAACGTAGGGGAGAGTAAATAGTGAATAAACATTCATTTTTTTGTATGAATTCTTCCTTTATCTCCTCACACTTTGGAAGCGCATACAAAGTGGATTTGCTTTTACAGTGCAGAAAACAATGTCTGACATCGAAAACCAAAACTCTTCAAGGCCTCATGTACAACTTAAGTGATTGAGGGTTGTTCAGAGTAAATGATCATGGGCAGCTAGTGAAAGCCATAGCCTAGCAATATACAAATCTTTTACAAACCCTAGTTGGTTTGTGCAGAAAGTAAAGCTGGAATTACTGATGCCTCTTTTCATGAAGTTCAGAATCAGTTCTTTCTTTTGAGAGACAATAACTCCATTTATCATGCATTTTTAAAGTTTTATAGAGCTTTTACATTTACAAACATAAGAGCATAATAGTGCACTTAAACTTCTACTCTGAATCTGCTTGTTCAAATGAGGATAATGTTAAATGTTTTTGGATGCTGTTTTTGGCCACAGAGATGAAGAAAATTTCTGCGCCACCGTCCCAAAAGATGGAAGGTCATATTCACCCACTCTGTTCTGTCAAACTGTCCGCGTCCTCAAGAAAATCAACAAGCCTGGTGACATGATTATATCTTTCAGTCTCCTAGCAGATAAAATTAAGGTAAATTTCATCACTACGCATATTTCTTTTACAAACACACCTTTCTCCATAAGTCACAGACATTCATGGTAATCTAATTGAATTTATGCACCTCCTTCAGTCTCTTGCAGACAGGCATCAGCAAGAGGAAGAGACGTTCTCTGATGCTCCAGATGAATTTCTGGATCCCATTATGTCTACCTTGATGCTCGATCCTGTGCTTTTACCGTCTTCAAACGTCACAGTGGACCGCTCAACAATAGCACGACACTTACTAAGGTGAGCCACGAATACAACATTTCCGACAATTAGGCCTGTTTTCATAAATAGTACATCACATTTGTACAAAACATGGGCATGACCATGCTTTTCTTACTTAGATTTTTTATCTTGTTTCTAGTATAGATATTTAAAAATACTTTTATCAAGAAGCATTTTCTAGACAAGCAATATATTGCAAAATTATTGTCTTGATTTGGCATGGGACGATTACCGGTTTCAAGGTTTACAGCGGTTTGGAAAAGTCAAGGTGTTAAAACCACTAAAATGTTCTGTTATACCACACCTAAAGAACCTGCAAGGTTTTGAAATAAATATGTGTTTTTGAAACTAATAAAGACAGCAAAAGTCAATGATTTATTTTTGTAATTTAGCCTGACGTCTAGCCTTTACTGCCCAAAAATGTTTTAAATCTTTCCTAAAATAAAATGTATTGTGTTCAAGTTTTTTTTACTCAGACATTTAAGACGAACTTATTGTAAAGTAGTAATCACTGTGATACCATGATATTTTATCCAAGGTTGTCATACCGCTGAAACTTATACAGGCCCATGCCAAGTGATATAAGAAAAAAATAGTCAAAATCAAGTGTTTTTCCTCAAAACAAGCTCAATAATCTACCAGTGGGGTGAGCAAAATAATGGTATGTCAAAGGGAAAAAATTTTATCATTTTACTTGCACCACGGCAGATTATTTGGCTTGTTTTAAAGCAGGGGTGTCAAACTCAATTCCTGGAGGGCCAAAGCCCTGCACAGTTTAGTTCCAACCCTGCTCCAACACACTTACCTGTAGGTTTCAAACAAGCCTGAAGGACTCAATTAGTTTGATCAGGAGTGTTTAATCAGGGTTGGAACTAAACTGTGCAGAGCTGCGGCCCTTTTGGAACTGAGTTTGACACCTGTGTTTTAAAGGAAAAACTCCCTTCATTTTAGTATATTATTTCTTAAAACAAGACACAATTCATGCTTGTCTAGAAAATGCTTCTTGATTTAAGATTTTAAGACTTTTAGATATTTGGACTAGAAACATGCCAAAAAAATATAAGTAAGAAAAGCATTTTTTGCAATAGCTTTTTTGCAAAAGCAATTGCTTATTGTGCTTATTTAAAAAGGTTTGTCACCAACCTCTTTTGCAGAAACTGCTCTAAACTAGTCTTGGTTGCCAAAGGCAGCATTTTTCTCATTTAAAGGGGTCATGCACTAAGAAATCAAAATTCCAAGTAAGAGCTTATTGTTTAGCTCTGCCCGCTGATTCACAAATGCAATAAAGAACGAGAGAAACAAATACAGAAACTATACACAGAAACAATAAAGACAACAACATGATCTTAATATCGGACAGCTTCAGTAAGACCTTTGATCTTTTCTTCATATTAAATTACCTTGGATTAGTTCAGATGGATTTCCAGAGAAGCTGAAATTGTATTTTTTTCTTGTTCACTATTTCTTTGTCTGTTATTACAGATTATTTTATATGTACTGTTTAACCTACAAAAGTGGGCACACAAGTCTTTGTGTGTGTGTGTGTGTGTGTGTGTGTGTGTGTGTGTGTGTGTGTGCGTGTGTGCGTGCGTGCGTGCGTGCGTGCGTGCGTGTGTGTGCATAATGGTGGACGGCATAATGGTGTATATAAAAAAGAAAATCAAACACGCAGAGTCTAACAACCCTTTTGTATGACGAACTACTTCCATCCACCACTAATTCACATCTGCAGCTGACATCAGAACAGCACAAACTGTTGCTGTATTTGAATGATTTTCTAGTGTAATGTCTGAAGTGATGACAAAAGAGCTGCTTTTGCTCACATTTTAAGATTATAGGGCTGAACGGCATGAAATGCCATCAGTCTACAGAGATTTCCCAGCATTTCTCTGTTGCAATCGAAAATTACAATAATTAAACCCGAAAAAGCCAAAGCAGTGCAAACACCACCAGATCACTGTTGTGTTTGCCATAAGGAAAAATGCTAAGAAGATGCGGCCAATTCTTTCTTTTTACTGAACTAATCTGCAATAAAAAACAGAAGACGCATCAGAAACAAACAGATGGCCAAGCAAAAGGTAACTCAGGTTTATACAAAGAGTGGCCAACAGAAAATACATACATTTCTGATATCTAAGTTCCATCTCACACTCAATACACTAAAATTATATAGTATAAATACAGCACTGGACCACGCATAAGAGAAAGATTGACTTAGAAAGTAATCAGTTTTATAATGATTTGATCAGCTGTAGTTAGAAATGATGCTGTTATGCTAATCTAAGGGCTTATTATGTAGTCTCTGTCACTATCTTGTGGATAGACAACGTCAACAGTCTTTGCTCTGCTCAATGACAGGCTAATGGCCATGGACGCACTGTCTCTCCAAATTATAACTATTAAAACTGGCACTATCCTTATAAATAAAGTGCATAGTTGGAATCTAAACAACTACCATCTCGCCTAAAAATGCCTCAAAGATACATTATGTTGCCCAACAGTTGCAATATTTGCCAAACTGTAGTGAGTTTATTGATTTGCTGTCACTTTATGTGGATGGAGTAATACACAAGGGTGAAGAGGCAGTATGAGTGCTGATATTGCAGAATATTCCACGGCTATCAGCCAATCAGATTCAAGAAACATACAGAACTGTTGTATAAAATAAAACAACCTTTATTTTTTTACATTTTATTTCAGCTATTGAAAAACTATATCAACAGCTTGCTAACTGAAACAACTTCTAGTTGATAACATCTCATCCCAGTATTACTCTTGTCTTTTGTTTTTGTTTTTTTTCCTCCAGTGACCAGACAGACCCATTCAACCGCAGTCCGCTAACCATGGACCAGATCAGGCCCAACGAAGAGCTCAGGCAACAGATCATGAAGTGGCTTGCTGATCATAAGCAAAGCAACCAGCAAATGGGACCCAGTGGCTAAACCACACTACTCCCCTTCCCCCCCAGAACCCAGGCATGCTCTGTGTGACTAAACCATTCAGATGTTTCTGGCCTCACTCATGCCGCATTGAAACAAGAGCATTTAACCACATACAGAGCAGCACGTATGCATTTATGGTGTTAGTGTGCTCCTCAAAGGTCAAATGCAAATCTCTAAATGCCATATCGCTGTAGCATATTCAGCTATCTGTTCTTCTCTCAACAGTTTGAGCTCTTCATAGACTGAACTCGGTAATCCGGGTCACGCTATTGGTTGCATTTTGCCTTGCCAAGATTGTTCACTGTGGAAAATTAAACTAGAGTTTATAAACGACGTATCTAAGGTTTGCTTACCTGTTCGATGCATTTGCCCTACCTCTGACTTGATTCATATGCATGCAATATTTTGTACACATCGCTTATTTGTTGACTTTTTAAGTTAGAGTATATCTCATTTTGAAATTAAGGAAGATCAAATCAATGTTGGCTGCAAACGAGATCAAACTACCATCAAACATTTAGTTAAGATCATCAGCGTTATATTCCAGCAAGCTTCAGCTTAATGGTTGTTCCTGCTGGCATTTGTGTTGTTGGGCTTGTCTATAACTCCTCCATTTGTCAAAATGCTTTTGTTCTTTACAAACATTTAATGTTAGAAACACAAGGAACGTTTGCTATAATATGCACATTTACGAGACTCGTTAAGAATATTGAGCTCTTGTTGAGGCGTTTGGAAATGCTCCTGTACATTTTACAAGGATCCATTGTGTCTTTTAACAGTGCAATATGTCCCGAGTAATGACTTATTTGACTGCTGAGTCAGCCTTATGACCTACTCTCATACACGGTGACATCATGTCTCTTTTTCTAGTAGTTGGAAAACTGCATGCTCGGGGCGGATGGACTTTGCTACTGACATTTGTCTTAAAAGATGACATTGATAAGACACTGTCCACTCACTGCCTTCAGTCCAGGGAGCTGCATTAGATTGACCCATCAAGTGGTATTAGGGTATGTCTGCATTTCGGCTGCACTGATTGTTTTTTCGCTGTGTGTTAGTTGGTTTTAAGTTAGCTCCATTATATGTTCAAGATATAATAAATGAGACCCCATGAATTCTCAGCTTAAACAAAAACGCTTTAGGATACTTTTGTTAGTTTTTCCATTTCTGTGATTTATACTGTAGACAATAGTATATGCATCATTCCTACAATTCTGTGCTGTTTGAGAGCCCAAAACGTAATATGTGACGCTGGAACACAAAACCTGGGTATATTTTTAGGAATAGCCAAATTTCATTGTATAGGTTAAAATTATTGTTTTTTTCTATCTAGCAAACGTCATAAGTAAAGAAATATTATGTTCTAAAGAGTCTTTTACTCTAAATATGTCAAAACTAAATTTGCAACAAATATTTATAATTTAATTCTTCATAAATTATCTCAATTTAGACAACTTTTAAAGGAGATTTTTCTCACTATATAGACTTTTTTTTTACTTCCAGCGTCCAGATTTTAAAATGCTTCTATCTTGGTCAAATATTGTCCTATCTTAACAAAGTATAAATCAATGGAAATATTATTTATTTAGATTTCAGGTGATGTATTAATCTGAAATAAAAAAAAACCTTATCACTGGTTTAATGTTCCAGGATCACTTTTTTTAAAATAAAAATGTGATCATACTAATTTCTCACAGATTGTCTTACATGATTTAACTCTCCTCCACCAGAACACAATAGGGCTGCACAATATTGGAAAATCCGATGCTGCAATTTTATTTTATTTTTTTCTTTGAATAAATATTGCGATATGAATACAGTTTCAGAATATTAAGTTTGCTTATTATAAGAACTATTTACACGTTTGAACAGCTCTGTTTGATGGATGTCTGGGGAATCTAACATTATTGAGGTAGAGAAATTGTATAATCACAATGCCAAAAATTATTTTTGTTTGTTTTTTGTTTCTAGTCCAAATATCTTAAATTTCTTAGATCAGGTTTGGTTTTGTTTCACCTTCAGAAGGAATAAGTCAAAACTAAGTGTTTTTTCCTTCAAATGAGCAAAACTATCTGCCAATAAATGGTAAAATAATCATATTTTTGCTCTTAAATATATATAATTGGATTAGAAACAAGACAAAAAAATCAAACATAATTTTTTTGATGCCCAAATGTTTTAAACTCTCTTGAAGTAATCAGTCACAGGACTTAAAAACACACGCCAATGATAAACTTTCACTCTGTTATGGTTAAACAGCAGTGACTCTACAAATCATGTGTTCTGTGGCTCCTGATCAGCTATAATTCAGACTCAACATTGCATTTCTTGCTATGTGACTTATGCAGATGCGCACATTGCGATGTTAATGCTGAAATGATAAATTGTGCAGTCCTAGAACACAATTATATATATATATATATATATATATATATATATATATATATATATATATATATATATATATATATATATATATATATATATTTGTTAATCTGGTATCAGGAAGTAGCTTATCATTTTGGAGGGAAACATCTACAAGAAGCAGGGCAAGTATTGCTTTTTAAAATATGTTTATTAGCTTTTAGGGTTATTTGTAGACAGTGTTGGTATTCATCATCTTGTATATTGAAGATTTAAGAGTGAAATGCATAAGTATGAGACGAAAATGAAGAGATGATCAAATGATGTCTCATGGAAAAACTACAACGTTTATTTAGAAAGTCCATCCAGCTAAAAGAAGAATTCAACAATTTGGACAAACACCTGGATTCTTGGTTTTGTGCATAGGTTACTCTAACTATTTATGCTCAACATGAGGATACTTTTTTAGTGGTGAATCATAATTATTATTTATTACATTATAATTATCTGAGCATTTTCTCACGAAGATGTACTATACTGAAATAGCACAGAAAAGTATGCATGATCCATATATTTTACATACCATTGTGTCCCTATCGAGTGTGCAAGACTTTCAACAGTGGTATCGGATGATTCTTAGAAAAGTAACTGCTGAAAATGACAGTAGGCCTATTAAATCATTAATTGTGCTTATGGCTTGTTTATATTTGCTCCAATGTTGGATTAAGATTAAAAAGAATATGTGTATTGTAATTAACTCTTTTTTTTAATTAAAAACTATGATGCTCAAATTGTACTTTCTTTTTCTTAGGTGTCAAAGTCTTTCACTGATTTGATTAATTTGTGTGTTTGTGTGGAATCAGACTTAATTGGAAATTGGGCAATTAAAGATGCACTTGGTTGTAAATTAGACACTTCTTTATGCAGTTGCGTTTGGTGACGATAGCTGTGCGTCGATTCAGTGTCATTTCTGCAAACTGAAACCATATCAGACAAAAAAAACTATTTAAAAAAATATATTTTTAAACTTAAGTATTTTTATTTACCTAATTTCTTAAAGACGGAACCATAAAGGTCTATATAAAGTATACTGATTACCCAGTTAAATTTGACTAAATGTCGGTCTGCCTAATATACTTTTTTTTTCCTCCCCTGAGTATCGCCGACGAACCTGCGTAAAAACATCATTGAGCGCGTACTCTGCGCTGGGATCTCGTCGGGGTCCTCGGTACCACCGCCCCGAAACATGGATAATCCATTTTGACCGCTAGACGCGAGCTGCCGTGTGCTGAGATCGCTCGTTCGGGGCTACACCCACACTGAGCTCCTGATCCTAGGGCAGGCAGGCAGAGTGTAAAATGGCGCACAGCTGTCGGTGGCGGTTCCCTGCTCGGCCCGGAGGGAGCAGCAGCTCGGGCACCGGGAGGAAAGCGGGCCGAATTCGAGTCAATGCTTCCCTCCTTATCAGCGCGGGAACAAATCCGAACGCGAACGGGCTCGGGCCCGGTTTCGACGCTGCGTTGCAAGTGTCCGCTGCCATCGGCAGCAACCTGCAGAAATTTCGGGATGTTTTGGGGGAGTCGAGCGGCTCCAGTAGCGGGGAGGTAAGCGGGACCCTGGCTAAAGCGTTAGCCTCATTCATGATCAACGCAGGAATTGCAAAATAACTCGGCGGCTGAGTAGCAGCTCTAAGTTGCTAAGTGAGGAGAGTGAGTGAGTGTGCTAGTTATTTTGCTGCGCAGCAGACACATGCCTCCATCCATGTGCTGTTTTTCTTACTATGGGACCACCACTGACAGGCTAAACTGCTAGCTAGCCCACATCAAAACATGCACCTCTTTCTATCTAACGACTGGTGTTGCTGCTTCTCTGTAGTCCAGTTGTCTATGTTGAGGCGATCTAGCATCATATTTAGTGACCCTGAGGAGTTTGCGTCCATTTTTGACAGGATGGAGATGTGAAGCTAGATAACTGAAGGTTGCTTTGGCTTGAACTTGCTTCAATTCAAATCTGAGTCTCGCTTATCGCCGCTTTTTTTACGTTAAACATCATGAAAACCATTTTAAGCTAAAAGTGATCAAAATACTGAACTTTGCTCGTAGCTTGTGAGTCTCTGATGTATCTAAGGATTAATAAAGGATGACGTTTAAAAATATGTAACGTTAGCAACCATCGACTGCACTGTTTCTTTTTAAACTGCGTTTTCACTCATAACGAGATTAAATTATACCCTACTACATACATCCGTCTTAAACTGCCAGGTTAGCTCACGGCGTGTCGTTCACCTAAAGACAACTTAGTTCAGACACTTGGTGGGTGTATAACGGAACTTTCCTCTTGTAGTGAAATAACTAGGTTATGGTTTCTCAAGAAGCATAAACGATCAGATTCGAGCAGGACTGAACACCTGGTGCCAGTTGGTTGTTGTTGTCTGAGCATTTAGCGATAGCACGCAGGAGTGCATCTATCCCAGCTGTAGTCTGTTTGGTTTTTAAACTCAAGTTTACAGTCTTGACCCACGCAAAAATGAAGATTAAACTTAAAATGTGTAATGTTCTGTTTATAAAACTATTGTGACTGGCCATATGTGCACTTCTGGTATTATTTTCTTCAGTTATACATTGCCCTCTAGCTTGGGTTGAGAAATGGATGCTAGTAGCCTAAACATCGTTGCTATAAAAATATGCTTCCTGGTCTGTGTTTGTTGTGGAGAATGGGATTTATGTTCACAAATTATTCGTTCACTTCCAAAAGTTTGCAGCGTGTAAATTTTAAAGCTCTGGTGTTTGGTTTCCTTCACCCTCGAGAGGCTGGCTAACGCGTTAGCTTGTTAGCACCCGTGATGCACGGGAAAATGGGAGGTGGACATGTTTTTTTCCCCTCTCAGATATTGCGTAGTAGCAGTATGCATTCGGAACAAAATGTTTTATTTCAACCCGGAATCAAACGATCCCTGTGCAAAACCTCACAGCGGCTGAAGGGACCATATGTTTAGTCAAAGACGCCAAACGCAATGTTTTGAGGTGTGCAAAAGGCGGCTGTAATAAAAAGGGCAGCGTTTGACGAAGGTTGTTATGTGTGGGGGTGTGTACTGTGACAAACTACCATCTTCCTTTCTCGGTAGTACAGCGCTGCGCATCTGAATCGCGGGGAGATCGAAACAAGAGCGGGCGCGAACCAGAAACATGCAAATAGCGTGCTGGATTCTCTGTTTCGCCTCGGGAAATTTTTGGGTTTGAAAACGTGGCGCAGATTTAAGAGCGTGCTGGTGAGGTTCATAGACATGATGTTTTTGAGACGTTTTTTTTATATTATATATTGAGATATTTCAGTAAATCCTAGATTTGCCCTGTTTACTCCACTGAGATGAGGCAAAATATGCAGTTCTCTGCTTCTCTGGGTTCATTGCTTCAGTCTGTTTTGTGTACATGTGATTAGTTTACCATGGAAAATCACACCGAACCAGTGCTATTTGTTTTTAATTATTACTATTTTTAATTAGCAGATGTGTTTTAATTGATTTAAATTGCTTAATTTTTTTTAAGCCAGCACTGCTGAAAAAGTGAGAACTGCTTTAATCAAATGGCACATATAAAACAACTTTCCTTGTGATGTCACTTTGGTTGTATCTGCTATTGGTTATGGTATTAACAAGTATGGAAATGGCAATTTCCACAGCATTGTTCTGTTTTTTGTTTTCTTATTGAATATGCTTTTCGATTAGCAGTTATGCCCTATCATTGTAACAGTTCAGTGTGCTTTAATACACAATTGAAGCCCTTTTGCACAGTGCTCCGTTAAAACATGAATACATTTGTGAAATGTACAAGTAGTCTACGAGCCAGACAGACGGCTAAAATCCCAGTGGAGTTTGCAGCTCATGCGAGTTGCGGACACAGCATTGTAGTTTCATTCAGAGGGGATGTTGTGCCTGGGTAGGATTGTTCTGGTTCATCGCAGCCCGCTGAGCTCACAGAGCAGCCTAAGGCCAGTAGCATGCTCAGTAAACAGAAGCACGCCGCCCCTCCTTCCCATCAGACCCAAATCCAACAGCACGGGCCCACAGGGCCCCAATAGGATTTTACTTCTGATGGCTGCCTTTTAGACTACTTCATTAACCCATTTGGATGGCTTAAAAATGTTTACACAGAGGTAATACGCCGCTGTGATTTCACCAAACGCTGCTCGCTTTCGCTCTGATCGTCCACATTTGAGATATTTTCCTCGTAAATCTAAAGTGCAAATACTAGTCGGTGGCTGCTTGCTAGACAACTGTTACTTTCGGGAGGTGTCCTGTTTAAGTCTCCATTCATCGGCTTCTTTGTGAGGGACGCCATTTGGCTTGCCTTTTAATGTCCAGAGTAAAGCCCCGCTTACAGAAGCAGAATGAGGATCAATATCAAGGCCTTATACAAAAAAAGCAGTTGAATGGATACAGCAAATGAATGCTTTGCTCCGCTGCTTTCTAATGAATGGTGTGGCCTATACGGAGGGAAAAAGTCCAGCAGGTGTTTGGCCTATTTATCTGGAGAGGGCCCTGTCCCCTAGACAGCGTGTGGATCATAGCAGGAAGCTTTGTGTCTGCTTTTATTCCAGCCTTTAAGAAGTGCAGGCAGCTGAAAGAGCACAGACGTGGATATCAAAGGGTGAAGAGCAAGCCCTCCTCCCCCTGGGACAGCGCTGGGAGGGGAATTAGACACAGGCCGTCCCATCCATGGCTTTATTCTGTTTTTGTAGGCGGGCAGAGGGGGTTTCGTCTACCGCTTTTCACTTTATTTTTTGGCCTGGGTGGGGGCTTCGGCAGCCATTGAGCGCATGGACCAGTTCTCTGTGAATTTACGTCCCTCATTACACCTCACAGGAGGCGCATCTTTGTTTTTATCTTAAAGCCATGGCTCTTCATTAGTGTGGGCGTGAGGTGTTAGAACATGCCGTTTCAGAAGCTCTCAGTTTTGGGTGCTCTGAATGTGGGTGCATGAGCAACATTGCAGCATCAGTTCTGTATCTCTCATCAAGGGAAATGTCACTTGATGCTTTTGAAAGTGTGTCAGGAGGCTCAGCAGCAACCACTTGTTTTCGAAATGATTTTTCATATGAGATGAAAGGGAGGTGTGATGACCAGACAGGTTTCTTTCTCTGTGAGTGGTTGGGGTTTGTCCGTTTTGGCTGAGCTGAACGCCACCAGTCTGACCCCAATTTAATGCTTTGCTTTTCCGCGTTGCGTTTATCTTTTGCACAGGATTTTTTTGAGGCAATCTGATGCCTCAGCAGTTGTCAAAACTTCACATTGTTTAGAAATTGGTGATTCAGTGAATTTTTGAAAGGCCTCACTATCACATATCCCCGGGCTTACAGATGATAATCAGTTACATGTCTTGATGTGGTTATTTTGGTTTTCTGTGATTATAGGGGTGTGTGTGTGTGCGCGCGCGCGCGCGTGTGTGTGTGTGTGTGTGTGTGTGTGTGCGTGCGTGTGTGTGTGTGTGTGTGTGTGTGTGTGTGTGCGTGTGTGCGTGTGTGCGTGTGTGCGTGTGTGCGTGCGTGCGTGCGTGCGTGTGTGTGTGCGTGCGTGTGTGTGTTTGTTGGCCACACACACAGTAGTGCAATTATGTCCTGCTCTGGGGAGGGAGAGTTGCCAGGTTGCAGTGTGCTTGCCAGTTTATGCCCAGTTCTTAAGCGAACTGTAGATGCCATGTTGAGCAACTTTCCCGGGTTTTTGACCATCTGCTCAAAACAGGATGTAATGAGTTTATGTAAACAAATAGTCTTGTTTGTTTACCTTTTTATTTACGGGAACTCAGAGGTGGCACAAACAAGTATTTCATTACCTCTTTTAAAAGGAAGAATGAACTGATGCTACTCTGCATTTTCACGTGTTTGAAGGTTGGAAGTTTTCATAACCATACCTTAAAATATACTGAGGTAGGGCTGCACAATAAATAGTGTACACGTCGATATTGCAATGTGCGCATCTGCAGTAGTCACAATCTAAAGCAGGAAATGGAATGTGGAGTTGGGGTTATAGTTGATTATAATCAATGCATAGTTTAATCATAATGGAGAAAGTTTATCGTCTTCATGTTTCCAAAAATTCAACATTACTCATTATCTTTGTTTCACCATTCACATGTTTTAAACGTTTACAAGTTTCTTTTTATGTTGAACACAAAAAGAAGATATCTTAAGACCTCCTACACGTTTAAAACAAGTGAAAGGTGATTAAGGCCCAATCCCAATTCTATTTTGTACTCCGGCCCTTGCAACCGAGGGTTAAGGTGAAGGGCTTCAAAGTTTACCCCTAAGAATTGGGACAGCACTACAGTACCTGCACACGTCATCATATGTCCTCGCGATTTCTTGCTTCATATGAGATCAGACAATCGCGACTGCTGGAGTGATTCCAGTTGTGTTATTTTTTGGTATTGATCTTCAGGAAATAGCTGAAGGCATATATTATGTTATCATAATGATCTAATGCGACAATAAGATCGTAATCATGTGCATTTAACACAGTGGCCATACTCTTCAATGTAAACACAGCATTAACATTATAGCAGAAACTATAAAAAAAAAAAAAAAAACATTGACAGCCACTTGACTTTTC